GTAAATCCCCCTTGTCACCTGCTTCCGACTGGATAGCAGTGTATCCACCACTTTTTGAGAACAGCCCTTATGTTCTAGGATCCTCCTTTCAACATCCATGCCGTCAAGCGAAATAATTTTGGATCGTGATACAAAACCGGCCCCTGGAGAAAAAGGTCCGGCCTGAGGGGCACGATCCATGGAGGCTGAACTGTTCTTCTCTGAAGTTCCGGAAACCACATCCTTTTGGGCCACCATGGAGCGATCAGAATGATGACGCAATCCGAGCAACTTAATTTCTGAATCACTCGAGTGAGAAGAAAAAGAGGAGGAAACGCATAGCCTAGGGAGAACTCCCAGTCCTGTAACAGAGCATCTACCCCGCTTGAATCCCTCTCCCTTGAAAGAGAAAAGAAGAGAGGCACTTTCCTGTTTTTCCTCCTTGCAAACAGGTCGACCGAGGGCATTCCCCACCTTTTCGGCTATTTGGGAGAAAACCTCAGGGTGAAGCTCCCATTCTCCCTGAAGAATTGGTGCTCGACTCAAATAATCTGCTACCACATTGGATGTCCCTTTTATGTGGACTGCGGAAATGGAGACGAAATGCTCCTCCACCCATAGAAGGAACTGAACCGTCTCTTGCAGGAGACTGGGGGACCTGGTCCCCCCCTGTCGGTTCAGATATGCTACAGTCGTAGCATTGTCCAAGAAAACTAGAATCTCTTGCCCCTCCAGCCTGGGCTGGAAAGCTAGAAAGGCTTGTTTCACTGCTAATAGTTCCCTCAGGTTGGAGGATGCATCCACAAGATCCGGGCCCCAAAACCGTTGAGCCTGTAACCCCAGGAGAATGAGCTCCCCACCCCTGCGAGCTCGCATCAGTAGTAACTTTCACGGGAGACAGTTGACCCCAAGCCCTGCCTTTCGACAAGGTCAGTGGATTCAACCACCAAGTCAGTGAATGACGCAACTCTACGGGTAGGGAGACCTGATTCTCCAGGGAATGCTTCTGATGATCCCATCCCCCTCTGAAGGGGCGAACAGGAGGATGTCGTCTAAATACGCCCGTTCAAAAGTTCCCCCTCTGAAGGGGCGAACAGGAGGATATCGTCTAAATACGCCAGTTCAGGGCCCAGCCCAAAGGGCAGGGCCCTAAACTGAAAATGGAGAAACCCCCTTTCTGTCTGCACGGCAAATCTCAGGAACTTCTGATGTCCTGACCAAATTGGAACATGGAGATACGCATCCTTTAAGTCCAAAGTCACCATGAACAGATCTTTTTGCAAAATCTTCCGGACTGAGTATATGTTCTCCATCCGGAACCTTCTGAACAGGAGATACTTGTTCAATTTCTTGAAGTTCAGTATTAATCTGAATTTGCCCCCTGGCTTGGGTACAAGAAAAATATGGGAGTAGAACCCCTGAAATATTTGACCCTCTGGAACCGGGACAACGTCCTGGGAAACAAGATTTTGGACACATGCCCATAATGCCACTGCCTTTAAGCGATCTTTTGGCCGAGGCGTAATAAAAAAAGTTTGTGGAGGGAGAGTCAAACTCCAACCGAACACCTTCTCTTATTAAATCTAGTATGTACTGATTTTGTGTGATTTCTACCCACTGGGGAAGAAAAAGAGAAAGTCTCCCTCCCACTTTCAATGTGGCGTCATTTTGACTCCTTCTTGGAGGAGTCAGGAGGAGTAAAGAGCAAACCTCCTTTTTGCTTATTTTTGCTAAAGGGCCATCTTTTCCTTTGCTCCCGAGGTCTCCCCCCTTGTTTTTTCTGGTCCTGGGGCCTCGAAAAAACCTACGATTGCGAAAGATCCCCCTCCCAAGACTTCAGCCAGATAGCTCTCCTAGCTGAATTGAGAAGAGCTGCTGATCTAGCCGATGCTCGAACAGATTCAGCCGCAGCATCAGCCAGATATGTAACTGCTTTACTCACGACTGATAGAGAATCTATCACATGTTCCGCAGGGGCCCCTAGGGAAACATGCTGTGAAACCCTTTCCAACCACAAGTCTAAGTTCCTAGCCACAGAGGTGGAGGCCAAAGCCGGGGTCATAGCAGAGGAATTTGCATCCCATGCTTTTCGCAACAAGGCTTCTGCTTTGCGATCCATTTGATCTTTCAGATTCCCTGAATCTACAAAGGAGAGGTCCTGTTTTTTAGACACCTGCGACAATGCTGTGTCTAATTTAGGCATTTTAAATATTTCTCCTCCTTCTTTACCGAAAGGAAAACGCCTCTTCCAAGACCGAAAGGCTAAATGCTTCCTCTCAGGATCCTTCCATTCACCTAAAACTAAATCTTTTAGTGTTTGATTGAAAGGAAAAAAAAAAAAACTCTACCTTCCGAATCCTGCAAACCCCCTGTAAAGCCTATCTTGCACAGAACAAGCTTTAGGAGGGTCAGGAATCTGCTCAGTAGTATAAATAGCCTGTAACAGATCTTGCATGTCATCTAGAGCAAAAAGGTGACGTGGCGGTTGAATCCCCACATTCCCTTCTACAGTCTCCCCCTCTTCCAGGGAACTGTCAGTATCTAAACCAGAATGCTCCTCTTTCTCTTCTACCCGAGTAAAAGCAGAATTAGAAAGTGAACAAGGCAGAGCAGCACTTCCAGATGGCCCTGCAGAGGCAATCGAGGAGGTAGTGATAGGCAACAGTTCTGAAAAAACATTCTTGAAAGATTGCACAGCAGTCACCATTTCATTACGCATACTGGCCATAAAGTCCTGCATAAGTGATGAAGATTCACTCAACATAACCTTATGTATACACTGTTCACAAATGGCCTTGGAGTAATTCAGAGGCAACTTAACATTGCAACTGCCACACCGCTTCTTCAATGCCTTAGAAGATGAGGCAGAAAGTGGAACTGCTAATTGGGCTACCGACTTGTCCCCCAGAAGTGCATCCTGAAGAGAGAGGCACAAAACACTGTATCAATACAGCTACTGGGAGCAATAAGGGCACCCCCCACCTAGACTACACCCAGTCCCTCCAGAAGCATCACTCACCGCTACCTTGGACTTGGGTGCAGACATCGCCGGCTTGGCTTCTTCCTCCATGTCAGCCTCGGCGGCGTGCAGCAACTCCCCTCTCTGTCAGGCCAGCGTCTTTGTGGCGGAAGTGACACCTCGTAACTCCGAACGAGGCTTGGAATGCGGAAGTCCCGCCCCCTTGCCCTCCACCACGAGGCAAGCTCCACAGAGCACCAGACAGGGCAAATAGCCCGGGGGAAAGATAGGCTGAGTGTCTACCATTAAGTTTGGGAGAGAGCAGCTACCTCTTCTATGGAAACAACCTCTGTACCACAAGGCAAGGCTCAGGAATCCAGTACCCTAGCAGAGCCCCACAGAGGGTGACTGCTGACCTCAAGGCCATCCAGTCGGGACAAAGAAACAAACATTGCGCTGACCCAGGCGGTAAGAAACACAAAAACTGAGGGACGAGGGGGGGGTGGGATGGGTTTTTAACCTTGTCTGATTGTGTTTCCTGTAGACTGAAGATCCAATCATCTCTCAGGTTGCTGTCCTGGAAGATTGGGAGAAAGCTTTTATTATATTCCCAGAGAAAATTGCTGGGGCCCATAAAAGCATGGGGAAGGTCAGCATAATGGCCAAGGTGGAGAGACGCTGGAGCTGAAGCAAGTACTGACCTTTTATAAGACGGACATTGTTTTGAAAGATTAAAAGAGGGTTCCATTACTCAACTCTTGTTTGAGAAGGCTAGTTTCCCAGGATGTCATTTTGATGCTTTGACTTAAATTCTGTTTGAGCTGCTGTCCCGTTTCTTGTGGTTTTCATGCCTCACATTGCTTTTTTTTTTAGGAATTTATTAGGCCTGAATCCTACAAATGAAACATTGACCCCAGTGTCATTCTGTGCAGGAAACTCTTCTGAGGGTAAAACAAGCTGTAAACAGCCGACTCCCTCCCCCCCCCTCTTCCTCCTCCCTGTGATTCTGTGCAACACGATCACTAAACACCAGCTCTGCCTTTGCACACAATACAGTGTCCGTGGGGCCATTATGAATACTAATGAATGGGATGGAGGGGTGGAGAGCTCAGTTATAATATACACAGATTGCTTGCAAAACACAGAGGTAGCCATTTCTATGGAGGTTATGAAGAGGAAAGCTAACAAAATACATACGTTTTTGTGTTTATACAGCAACTGCATATCACTGTGTACATTGCCTGCATGTTTATATAAAAGAAAAAAAATACCTCCGCAAGGGTGGAAATGGGTTTTAAGTCACAAATTCTGGTGAGTTTAAGGCCCAATTGACACCAGCATGTCACGTGTCCTCATTGTTCTCAAGGGGTTTATATACGCGTGGCAAAAAAGCTTGTGTGGTATTTTACGTGACATGCGTTCCCGCAACGCCTAGGTGTGAACCAAGCCTTACTCATGTGCACTAGTGTATAAGGAATTCCTACTTATATATACTTTTTATTATAGGGCATAGACTTTTGTTTACATTGTTACTTTGTGTGTTTTGTTCTTTTCCATATATAGACTCAGTTTTGGGGGAGTATTCACTTTGAAGGAAATCGTGCCATTTAAAAAGGTACATCAAAAACAGATGCCACTGTAAATTTCCTTTCTTGTTGCAACTGACCTGAATGAAAAACAAGATTGCCAACAAGCACTTCTGACTTTCCTGATCTGCATACATTTCTTATGTCTGTGTTAAAAGGTATTTAAGCCATAGGGTTAGCAGTGTGTATATTGCTCTTTTAAATTAAATGACTGAGAACAAGTCCCTCCATAGTGGGGCTCTTATGACATTAATATTTACATTTTCTGAGCAGAATATGTCTAAATGATGAGAGCTCATAGAACTCCTAAGAGTGCTGTGCATAAAGCCGAGTAGCTACACCAGTTTTCACCTGCAGATGGTGCTGTAGAGAAGTTATCATTTAGTTCCTATTACCAGTGAAAGATGTCCAGTTGAAAGTTTAGCTTACCATCACTTTAAATAATCAGCTATTGCCTTTTAATATGCAAAAACATATTTTGTTGTAACCAAGGATTTTTATTCCACAATATAAACTGCAAAATTTGATACAAGCTACAAGAAAAGCCAAAACAAACAAGAAATAATAATAATTAACGGGATTTTAAGGAAACTTTCAGAGCTCAGTTTGCTATGTCTAACACGCTGGCTGCCCTAAGCACCTACTAACCCAACATTCTGTACAAAGACCCACTTCATTGCAGTGGCCTCAAATCGGAGCAACTGGTTCAGTATCTCAATTTCAGATTTTGGAATTAATGACAGGGAGGGGGGAAAAAAAAAGTTATTGCTCAGGAAAAATGTCCTACATAAACAGCACCTAGTTTCTGTTTTTGTCTTTTAAATGGAAATGAAACCTCAAAGTCTTGGTACCTTACCACAAGTTAAAATTTCATTCAGCCTCCTCCTAATGTACTGCACTGACCAAGGATCCATACAGCGAGGTATGAAAGTTCATCTTTGAACAGCAAAACAATCTAAAACAACTCATTTCGCTGGAGAACCAGCACATCTGAAACGTGTAACAGTTGTAAAGTTAAGTAAAATATACAAAACGATTTGTATTTCCATTAAGTCCCAATTTTCTTGGAGGAGTGAGAAATTGTTTTTCAGGGTCTGAAAAGCACCATTATGGGCCGGATTTGAAAAGGAAACCGGGCGTGTGTCTAGAGAAAAAAAAATCCTTAAGTCCTGGGAGCAGTACAGTCAACTCTGAGGGGAGAACTTTATTTGTGTGCAGCGGCAATCTCGTCAATGCAGTGAGCACACATGTAATCCTCCTTCTCAGCAGTTTCAGCAGAAAGACCAACACAAACTTGATGAAACCAGCGATTACAGCTTCCATCACATTGCACCCAGTCAACCTACAAAAATAAATAGGAATGCCGTTGTGTTATGCAGTACTTAAATACATTCACGGTGCAGGTCCTGTAATATAGGAAATGCTCCTTTTGTTATTATCAAACATTACTAATACATGCCCACTGTTTATGCGATTTGTACAGGCGCAATTTCTCTGAGGATTACTGTAATAGAACGGCCCCCTTGACTGGTATCTCGGTTTCTTGATGACTTCTCTGCCTGACTGCCCCACTTTCTCTCCTCAAAAATACCCACTATCATTCTTGCTGACCAACATTGCTACCAACATTACCACCCCCGGCTTCCACTCAACATCTCAACCTAACCTCTTCTTTTCAACAATGGGCACATGCTCCCACTCAGTCCAATGGCAACATAATAGATTGTGTTCTCTCACCTATGCATGCCTTGCAACCTCTTCAACACCTCTTTTCCCCTCTCTCAGACCAAACCTTGTCAGTTTCACCCTAACCCTGTCCCCAACCCTGAATCTCCCTAAACAGCACACTGTCACCCAGAGAAACCTTCGCCACAACAACCCTTCTCTTCTCTACTTTGCTACTGCCTACCTCTGACAAAATCTCACCCCTGTCCTGCCCTGACTACTTCTGTCTACAACAGCTCGCTCTCATCCTCACTAGACACCTCGGCTCCCCTAACTACATGCAGACTTAGGCCGCATCCACTACAACCATGGTAAACAGAAATCTTAAAAGACATAACCGAGCTCTTGAGCGACTGTGGCGGAAAACTAGGTATCTGCAAGACTTCACCATGTGTAATTCCACCCTCCATGCCGCCAGACTTATTTTGTCACTCTTCTTAACACACTCATCCAGACCTGGTCAACTATTTTCTACTTTTAACTATGTCCGCCACCACCCACTAACTCACCACCCAGGACATTGCCATTCATTTCAAAAACAAAATAGATGCAATTTGGGATGAGATCTCCACTGTCCAGTCACCTTCCCCTATTAATGTACCAGACCCACCATCACACTTACTTTCCTGTTTTGACCCAATCACCACAGAGGAGGTTACAAAGTTTTTCTCTGACACCCACCTCACCACTTGCCCCCTGGACCCTGTTCCTTCACCACTACTTCGGTCACCCTCTTGCTCTATCCTACACTCTTACTCACATTTTCAATCTTTCCCTCCCGTCTAAAACATGTGCTGTACACCCCGAATACCCCCCCCAAAAAAACCCTCACTGGACCCTACCAACCTTAATCTCAGACCAACCTACTTACTCCCATTCACCTCCAAACTCCTTGAAAGCCCTAATCTACAACCGCCTGAGCTGCCACCTCACTGATAACCTTCTCGACCCATTGGAGTCCGGCTTTCGCCCCCTAACACTCCACTGAAACCGTCCTCAAAAAACTCACTAATGACTTACCAACTGCTAAAAACAATAACCACTACTCCTTACTCTTGCTATTAGACCTTTCTGCTGCTTCTGACACTGCTGACATCCCGCTGCTCCTCAAAAAAAGTCTGCTTGCTTGGCCTACAAGACTCTGTTCTCTCATGGTTCTCCTCCTACCCAAGCGCTCCTTTAGTGTCACTTACAACTAACTCCTCCCCTCATGTTTCTGTAGGAGTCCCCCAAGGCTCTGTCTTTGGACCCCTTCTCTTCTCTATTCTACACCTCCTCCCTTGGTCAGCTGATAACCTCACATTGCTTCCAATGCCATCTCTATGCCGATGACACTCAAATATATATATTTCTACTCCACAACTCACCCCCTCAGTGTCCTTGCGTGTCACTAATCTACTATCTGACATATCAGTCTGGATGTCGCAACACTTCTTATAACTCAACCTTTCAAAAACTGAGCTCATGATATTTCCTCCTGCCCGTGCACCCTTCCCCAACTTTTCCTTTGAGATTGTTGACACAACTATCCAGCCCTCTCCCATGCAAAGGTTTTAGGTGTCATTCTGGACTCAGACCTCACATTTCTGCCCCTCATTCAATCATTATCCAAATCCTGTCACCTTCGTAACATCTCCAAAATACCCCCCTTCCTCACCAATCTAACCACAAAACTACTCATTCACTCACTTATCTCTCGTCTTGGCTATTGCAACTCCCTATTCATTGGCTTACCTCTACACAGGCCATCCACCCCCATCAGTCTATCATGAATGCTGCTGTTACTCATCATTTTATGTCCGGATGGCAGAGAGGGAGAAGAACCTAAAGACTTAAACAATTTTTTTTTTTTCTGTATTGAGTGAAACTAATGGTGATAGGTTGCTTAATTTCTGGCAATTACTTATGGTTGTATGTGGAATTCCCAGTCAATGTAAAGTGAAATTAACAGAAAATTGCCATGTACAACGACAACTTAAAAGCATACTCCACTATTGGACCATGTTCCCATATTTAAGGAATAACATTAAGCATGGTCCCCCAGCCACCAGCACCCTTAAACCACCCCTCCACTAACCTAAATCTCAAGGTTAATCCCTTTGAACGATTCTGTATTTATTTGAACTCAACCACATAGCTGCATTATTAATTCACTGATCCCTTCACATGATCTGTGAATGTAAAGAGCATAAGTCCTATCTGCCACCATCGCAGGGAGCCTTGTAGATCACCATGGAGCACAAGTGTGGTGATAACACCACACTTGTAGTCCACGAAACTTCTAGTCCCAAAAGGAAGGTTTCTACCTTGGTATTGGCCTTAAACTGGGGGACTAGTCTGCAGAGGCCAGTGTGCTTCAACTGCGATCCACTGATCGTGGTTGAAATCCTTTGCAGTCTCAAAATGCAAAAAAAAAAAAATTACATTAATACATGCACTTTTTTTCTTTAAATAATGTGTAGGCGTTTTTTTTAAGGAAGACTATGCCTATTATGGTTCTAGTGGATGTTTTCTTTATTTTTTAAAGGGTAATTCCACTTTCAAAGGTGAATTTGGGAAAATGGACTAACCCTCAACAATCTGCCCCCTCTGCTGCTCTTACCTGTCAACGAATGCTCCATACCCTCCAAGGTATACTACACATAGCAGTTCAGCCCTGCGCTCTGTATTTTACATTCCACTCACAAATGGCAAGCACTTATTGATCAGCGCGGTCCCCTGACTACATTGACCAATGAGAAGCGCTTCTTTTAATTCGTCTGGGAAAGTAGAATTACCCTTTAAAGGATATCTAAACCCAGGAAAAAAATGTTCTAACTATTCCTTTGATGTGGGGGCTGTATTATTTGCATTTTTCACACTAAGAATTTTTTTTTAGCAAGTACAGAAAATACCTGTTGATCTTGCCAGAAACAGTGTCATTGTCACTTCCTGTGAGCTGCACTGAATGCTCAAACAATGTTATCTTCCTTCTGTAAACTGTTAATCTACCCATGTATTGGAGATGAAGATGAAGTGAACAAGCATAGCCACCCTAAGACACTCCCTGTTTTATTCACAGTATAATTAGGTGGAAGAAATAAATCCAGATCCATACCTCATCTCCTTCAGGTTCTATGCAATGATCTGCCGGACAAATTGCATTTTCATCCTCCGATTCAGATGTGAAAGAACATTGCGAGTCACTGTCTCTATCAAGACGTTGCTCTCTACTACATAAGCCTTTGGACTGCAGAGTTTTCACCCTCTTTTTCCTAGGAGCTGGTGTCTTCCTCATCCTCCTCTCTGTAGCCTCATGACGCCTCTTCAACCTTTTCTCTGTGCTGTCCGACCTCTCCTTCTTTGTCATGCAGTACACAGCCTAAGAATAGACAAACAATCTTTAGTTGTGTTATACCTTTAAGCACATTCCAACCAAGAAAAACATGCACTGTAAATGTGGTTTGTTCAGGGCAAATCATTGCCATCTAGCAGCATCTAAAAGGTAAGGGAAATACAAACCCAAATAATTAGTTCACAATGCCCTGAAAAGTACAGCCACTAATAAAAACAACATTTCTATTCTCAGAAAAGCTTGTGCCTAATAGACCAGCAATTATCTGATCTGAAGACCAGGTCTGTATCTGGCTTTGCCTTCAGCACAGGGAGATAAATGCAAGTAGAGAGAGATACACTGCGTGTTACAAGTGTGTTTTAAATTCATCATCTACAAATCTCTCTATTTTTTCTGGTATTTCAATGGCTTCGAGAAATAAGGAACCAGCCACAATTCTTTGATAACTTCCAGATTCAAAATAATTTAATTGCCAAGTCAATAGTCAAAATCTATTTCTTGTTACCTCAGAACGTGACACGTTCCATTCTGTTCCCTGCTGTTTAATGGGCCCCCGGTCTTTCCCGGAGAGAGTTAAGTTGCTCTCTGGGTCTGTTGTGCTTGGCTGGGTCATAAGCGCTTGATACAATTCTTGTACTTCAGGAAGTGAGACTTGTAAAAGCTGAGCTTCCATCAGCAACTCATCTAGTTCACCATTCAGACCTAAGAGAAGGATAAAGTATTTATGAGAGTACTTGGTCACTATTCTTCCACATTAATGGCAGGATTTTTGTAACCTCTGGCTTGCATGCTTTAAAATTAAGTTTAAACAGACACAAATGGTGGCCATCCACTGTTCTATTTTTTTTTTTCCTTCATCCCGCAGGTTGAATGAAAATAATAGAACAGATTCTTCTATCAACACTAGCATTGATCGAGGAATCTCCCGCTGCCTTCATTGTATCTTGAGAGCGGCCTCCGGCCACTGTCAGAGTCCCTTAACAGCTTCCTAATCTCTAAAGAGAACCCATTATCCCCATTCTACATTTTAGAATGCTTTCACCCATTGCACAGTTACATTGTATTTCTCTGCTTTTCTTTAAACAAAATCTTCCTTAAATGAGGGGAGAATATTTTGGTGTTTCCTATCAAGAGACCACTAAACCCAAAAACCCAGGGAAACGCTAGATTGCCAACCCTGCCAGGCACATGCCTGTGGGTGTAGCTGCTGAGACCCACTGTCAAAGCTGGAATTCCAAGATCTGAAAGTGTATAGCAGTGCAGCTGTCAAAATCTCTTTACAATTTGATTATAAAGTTAGTGCGGAATTAAGAGACCCATAGTTATAAATAAAAAGATTGTTTTGGAGCTTAACTGGTTCAATAAAACTTATCAGGTCAAAAACAGAGTCCTAACCAATATTACTACTAAAAGTGCAGTTACCTTTTGGTAACTGAAAATGCCTGCATCAGTTCATTTGACCACCTTTGATAACAGGCTGAAGTTGTACAGGGTTTAACACTGTTCAAGGTGGTACTCAGCCCTTGTACAACCTAATGTTTAGATAGACAAAACTAAAACCGGGAGAAAATAGAGGTGTGATATACTAGTGTGTGCGTGCGCAACTGGCAAAAATAAGTACATGAATTCATATGGTAAAGAATATAAAGTACCATATAGTGGAATACACCCAAAGCTTCTTAGCGAAAGTTATGTTAAAATGTTTCAAAATCATTCTGATATTGTAGAAAGAGCATCTTATGTTAATGCTTGGGGGAATGCTCTACCTTTTCTCTGCTATGATTTGCTTCTGCAAAGCCAAGCTAGTTATAAAGCATGCTCCTTGAAAAACAGCACAGAGATAGTCCAATTCTCTACCCGATATAAAAAGCCTAACTAAACTGTGCATGTTGCGGCATTTGAGTAAAGAGCATGTAGCATGCCACCATATGCATTAATACTATTGGTAAGAGGCAGTGTTTGACTACCTTAATTACATCAGGCAGCCACTATATTGGGGGGGCTGGACATGATCTTCATCATGACCAGCCCTATTTTACAGAACGCCACAGTAAAAAAAATGGATAGAATGCACCCTTTCCCCCACAAACAAGGAGGTAAGGTGTGAAACTTTTTTACAGAGGTAGAGTGTGCATTTACAATAACCAGAAAATGGGTTAATATTATAATTCATGTTCTTTGGTTCCTTCTCAGAACCTTTTATTTAATTATGTGTGCAGAAGGACTATGCAAATATATTGGTGAGAGGCTAACCTGTCAGAAGGAAACTTGAGAAACTTACTGTTTAGAGGAATACAATTACGCCCAGGAGAAAATGGAGAGGTGATGTATGCCGTCCTGTTGTCCCACTCATGGGGCAAAGAGAAAGATGTGGCCCCAACACTCTGTGATACCTGAAGAACAGTTAACTTACATTAAATATATACACTTGCTGGAAACAACTACAGTCTATTTCTGAACCTATCTACATGCAATAGATGGTTAAAAAATCTGAAATTCATTTTAAAGACAAAGTAACAGCATCTTAGACTCTTACATTAGAAGTCTCTGTCAGCTGCCCAGCAGTGGATTGCCATCTGTTGTAGAACTGACTTGAGCCGATTCTTTCCTGTGCCAGTTTTATTTCTACCGAAGACAACATATGTTGTGCCCGATGCTGCCAGTTCACTGTCCTCTCAATAAGATAGCGGAGAGCATCCCCCTCTGGTAGTCTAACACGTAAACGCTGTAGTGATGCCAATAGAGGGAGAATCTTTTCCAGAGGTGGTTTCTTTGAGCGGTGACATTGTGGACACAGCCAGACTTGGGATCCATGCTTTGGGGCAGTAATGCAGCTAGAGTGGAAGCAGGCTCGGCACAACTCACATTGGATCATTGGAGCCATTGGAGCTCCTTGACATATGCACACTTTCCAGTCATTCTGCTCTTCCCTTGACAAGATTCTGTTCTCATTAGAGATGCGTACAGTATGTAAAGACTCCATTTCACGCAGTCGTGCTTGACCCAGAGTTGCCATCTGTTAGGACATACAATTAAAAAGGAAATGAGAGCAAAAAACACCCTTAGGATCAAATCCTTGGCCTTGTCACTGACTTGTAACCACAAAACATTATATAACTTCTATAAGCAGAGAACCCATAAATTAAAATGGTAATTTATGTTGCACAATATTACCGCAAATGTTTAGCATATCTACAATTTCAGAAAAAAAAAAATTATATATATATATATATATCTCTGCACTGCAACCCATATTAAAGCACACACAAAAATAAAATACTACAAATATTCTGTAAAACAAGACAACGTCAAGTAAGTAGATACCAAAGATGTCAAGATTTAGAATTGTGTGCAGCCTGGAAATGGCAACTACGATACCCAAATTTTTCCATATGAAGCACATTCAAAACCTTAACAGATTATCAATTAAGATATACCTATAAATGATAGTCCTAAAATGATGGCAGGGGAGAAAAGGGGGGGGGTGCACACCGTCAGCGACAGCAGCAAAAGCATTCAACTAAGTTACCACTGACTGGTTTTGTCAAGTGACCAAAAATGAGACTATATTTTGCAAGACAAGGCAAAACATGTCACTTACAGCAGTAGCAGTGTCTTTGCTTTCATTCAGTGCTTTCTCAAGCTCCAGCAGGCCATCTGGCTTTGGGTATTTTTTCTTCCCCCCTGAAGCGGTCTGCTCCTTTATCCTTCTCATTTTTCTTTTCAGACCAGGAGAGCCAACATCACACCGAGGACAGAGAACCTGAAAAGGTGTTTGAGAAGAAAAAATAAATTATACTGAAGCTGGAAACTTCTTGGAATGAGAAGGTGGAATGTAATAATAGTTAGCACATGTGCTGATATAGCTTAAGCTTGGTGTAAAGTAAAATGGTAGTAACCTTTGCACCGTAGCGGGAGAAAAAGATGAACATAGTACCATCACCAACCTCAACCTTGCCCTCACATATGAGACTCTCCCTGTGTTCTCAATCTGTGGTTGAAAGGGGTCATGGAAAACAGCTCTGTGTTTCCAAAGAGACAGCCTGATGCCCTTTACGCTTTAGCCGACATGTTCCTGGGGTTGGCCCCATTTACTTCTATGGTTAATGCACAGACAATGAAGATCACTGCTGCAATGCACACATCACCATATAGTATATTTCAGAACAGAGGGAGGAAAGGCTCATCAAGCTATGTCTCATCAAATGTTGGTCGGTGCTCATGTACACAAGTTCAGCATTTTTCTGGGGTTTTTTTCCGCACCCAAGATACTAACATGTCTGTTGCAGGGTGAGGAGTGAATGCACCGAGAACAAATTATGTACTAACAACAACCCCTACCCCCCCCCAATGGCAGCCACCACCACCTTGACTAAAGCCTACATAAGCAAAGTAACCACACTCAACCCCCAGATGATGAGATTGTAGAATATTGGTAGTATCAATGTGACATAATACTAGACTGAAAATGAAATAAGACAGAAAAGGCCTGGATCGCTAATTTTTTATTTTAGGAACTTACCTCTAACAAAGTGTAAGGAGAGCTAGATGTTAAAAATGTGCTGGTGGCACACTCTGTCCAGGAATGGACTTCACCCACAAGGGCTTCAAGTCTTGGCAAAGGTCCAAGATGGACAGGAATTGCTCTGCCCTGACTCACAAGATCAGCCAAACTGTCCAAAACAGGAACTCTAGGCCCAGCCTTAAACAAAAAAAAAAAAAAAAAAAGATTCTAAGTGATTAACATATTGTGTCATGATGTATTAATGTAATCTAAAGAGTAAAACTGACCTGCAAGTTCTCCACCTTCTGTAGCCATTCTCGGGCCCTCTCAACAGCATCCCTTAAAGACTCCACACTTGGAAGGTAAACAGGGACACTCTCTGCTTCCCGCAAGACAGTTGTCAAAGCGCTAAGAATATGCCGGGGCCTAAAGAAAACCAAACATTTGGAGATTACACAAAGGAAGACTCATTATTAGGTGATCCTAACTTTCAAGCAATTTAAAAGCTGATAAAACCACGAGTTGATGTAACCGACACCTCACCTTGCTTTGAGCAGACTTTTGCACCGGTCATCCAAATGTTCTGACATAGTTAGGAGCTCCTGAAGCTTAGCCATTGCTTTTTCCACAGTAGGATGAGGAGCAAGGCCCACACCCAAATCTATAAGTCTCCTCATAACATCCAGTGTTAATGTCCCAGGATCCTGGCAGGCTTGCTGTTGTTCCTCCAACCAGCGGGCCTGTTCCAAGCGCTCTCGCAAACTTTTTAAGGGTAATTCCAAGTCAAACTCAAAGCTGGAATCAAGAAGCTGCTGCAAATCACTTGCTCTGGGCATATCTGCTGCTAAAAGCTTCTGACTGCGCGTTTGGAATTCCTCCACGCGGCTTAAGAGATCCTTAGGAAAAAGTGTAGTAAGAATGTCACTGGAGATGTTATAAAGAAGACTGGGCATACAAAGAGAGAGAGGGGGAAAAATGGAAGACATACTTTTTCTGATCAGACAACTCAGACAATAAATCTAGTAAGCCCATATGCAAAGCAAAAACGTGCGTACAGGTAAGGAGGGTAGTTAGGAGATTGGAACAGAGTACACGCATGAAATTAGCAATGTCAGTCTAAAAATATATTACAATCCAATACGTAACACACCAAATTAGGTATGGTGTTTACCAAGCATGGGAAGTGTCAACTGCTATAGTGTTTAAAGCATGAGTATACCCTTATTTGTATAAATATATCAATACCTTGAGCTGAGGTGTCTGGTTGACATAACATGGGAGAGAATGCAGCTGTTTCACAAAAGACCTGAGCTCAGCAATAGTTAGCTGATTCTGAGACTTCCCACCTCCTGACCGAAATCTGCAATAAGAACATGCTATATTAGTCAGTGACAAGCAACTAGTTACACAACAGTGGCAGAAAAAACTAAAAAGGACCTGTGGTGACGGCATCAGTCTGAGACACTTGTAAGATAATTCAGAATTCACTAATGAGAGCATTTGACTACTTTCTGACCTGTAGTTGAACAGCTTTCAAGCAGTTTTTGCATTCCCATAGACTTCTAAAGGAATGCAAAACATGCCTAAAGTGAACAAAATCCCATCAATATAGGTCCTTAAAGCAGCACTACAGCCATGAATAAAAGTGCCCAACCTTCCCAAACCTGAGGTCTTTATTATTTTTTAAACTATAAATAGAGAAAAAAAAAGAAGGCATAAGGCGTTAAACATCGAAGCACCACATCTCACATTTTATGAAAGACCAAAAACATCACAAGTAGACAGGACTTTCAAGGTGCAATTGAGATCACACGAAAAAAAAAAAAAAAGATAAAACAAATATTTAATAAAACACATTGTAAAAATATATCAACACATTAAAAAGTATTAGCTACAGCACAAGTAAATAAAAAAACTTGCGATATAATCTTAAGTATGCCCCTATATACAAGTGTCCTATTATCACCACTGCCATGTAATCAGAGTATCCTAAAGAAATACTGTAAATGTACTAAACTATCCATTAACCATACAGTAAAAAAAGGAACGCTGATGCTTTTTACACAATTAGGCTTCCTCTGGAGGTGTGTGATGAATATCAGAAGAAATAGACCAGATGTCTAAAAAAAAAAAAAAAAAGAAAGGCTGTAGCTGCCAGGTACAATTGTCTCCTAAGGGGGAATATTATAGGGGATATATAATTAGGTCAATTCAGGAACACCTATTCACTATAAACGTGCAAAAAGATCATTCTTCCTTCATGGATCTATGACGTTTTTTGCATCCTAATATTTACTGCGGTCCCATACACCTTACAACCACCACACTACTTTCGTTGTGCGATGGTTGTAAGGTAATTAAAAATTCGTACAATCTGCCCATCTTGGACAGGAAGATCGTACTTGCGATAATCGCATGCCCTCCCCGCCGAGGGGAGAACGCCACTAACCCACCGAAAATCGTACGATTCTCATCGGGTTTTCAGGCGATCGTACGATAATCGGCAGGTGTATGGGCACCTTAAGAGAGGACACAAATTTCTAATATCTCCTTGTCCACACAACACGCAAGCTAGGTCCAACGCCAGAGTAGATCCCTGTATTAAGAGAAAACTGCTGTCCTGGATGCCAGAGGGGGAAGGGGAAGATCCACTTTGAAGATGAAGCTGTGGACACTTGGAGTTTAATTTTTCCCACTTCTCCCCAGATGATGTGAGGAGAAAAGAACATGAAAATAAATAACAAAAAAATTAAAGGAAAAACAGCTTTAAAAAAATGTATGTTAAGGCTACAAATTCCACTTTGTGAGTTAAGGCTAATACTGTATAAATAAGCTTTAGAAACCTCATTTTTAGAATGTTTGGCATCCTTCAGATGACGAACTGTAGCCCAATGTCCAACTGAAGGAGCTTGCATGGCAGGTTGCTAACGCTGCTACCAATTGTGTGGCAGAGCCTTATTGTTGTCAACTGGCAACAGGAAGTGCTGTTACTGGCAAGATCTCCAAGAAATTTTGCAACAAGAAATCAGACGTTCCACTACAGATATCCTGCCAGCACACTCCCAGCCCCAGCTCACTGACTCAACAGCAAGAAGAAAAAGGATAAAACCTGCCAGTAAGATTTATTAAGCAATCCGGTGCAAGGCAGACCACCTGAACTTCACCATCTAATGCATTTAACTCATAATGAACTTATTTGTAGAAACCTTGCAACAGATTCACCAAAAAATTATTTGCTTAAGAAAACTGTATACAATGAGGCAAAAGGCTGAAAGCATGAAGTTTTCTAACCTGGTATGGCGTTTTCCATTCAGAAGTAGCTGTGCAAGAGTTCCGCACTTATCAGCATCTTGCACCACGGCACGCAAGTGTCGCAAAAGGTCATTATCAGGAAATTTCCTAGATTCAGATTCTTCCACAAGCACTCGCAGACTAGGGAGACCTGAAAACAAATCAGTAGAATAAATGAAATGAAGGCAAATGAATCCCAATCAAAGCTCTTTAGGTCACAAAAAGTGGTCAATGTCTTATTTATTTTAGCCTTTCATTAAAAAAATGGTTCCCAACCAAAGCAAAAAAACTTTTAAGTATATAGTTCATAAAATATGCCATATGGTGTCTTCCAGTAATACTGGTTATTAGGGATGCACCGAACTTTCAGCCGCCAAAATATTTTGGGCAGAAAACGGTACTATGGGCAAAATGCAATGAAGATGCAGTACCAAAACGGCCAAAAATTAAATGCATCCCTAACTTCTCTCCTCCCTGCTGGGTGCCGGTCTGTTCCCCCTCTGATCCCTGCTGCTCTCCCCTGCCTGTGTCGGCAGAGGCAGCGGGGATCAGAGGGGACAAACCGGTGCCCGCCCCTGATGTTTCTACAGGGCCCTAACAGTAAAGTAAAAAAAATAAAAAATAAATAAAATGTACACATTTTGAAAAGGTTGGAAATGAAAAAAAAAGTCATTTTCAGTTACGGTGCATCTACTGGTTATTATTCAGGATTTATATTGCGCCAACAGTTTGTGACAGAATCTGCATTATTGTAGGCCCCCTTGTGTTAGAATGACAGGTCAGTGGGCAACTATTAGTATAAAAGGGAGCTGCTTCATGATATCACAATTCAACTTACTTCTTTTATTGGTTGTTGATTTAAGAGCATCAACAACCTCAGAAGCCCAAGCATCATAGGATTCTGCTCGCAACTTCACAGCATTCATCATGGGATACAAATCATCAAGGCTGTAGCGATACCTGGGAAGGTGGCAAAAATTGTTTAAAATCTTACAAAAGCATTTATATTTTGCACAGTAAACTAACCCTATTTGTCTCCTCTGCTATTGAGTTAGATGCAGCTAACTAGAATAGCAGATTTAACCCTTAAATATTACTTGCCCCAAATATAGTGGTGCCTGTGGGAATCCAAGTCATTTTTTATTAACAAAACTACTATAAACTACTCAATCACCGCGCACAGAATGACTGACTTCTATGACATGGCAATGCTTCATTCTACTGAAAACGATAAGATGAGAAGTGCAAACAGATCCATGCCTCCTGCATTGTGTCCCCAGTAGCCACTGACTGCATTCTAGTACTGCCAGAGCATCCTAATACACATCTGCTTACACAAACACTATTTCAATAGATCTGTAATCTAGTCAATGAACACTTTTACAGCTTAAAGTCAAAATCCACAAATATTTGGTTCTCTTTACAAAATGATCTCTTTCTTTGTGCAAATTATAAAATGATACTCTACTAAGAAGTATACAGCATCTTCTAAAACCTTCACACTAAGCTATACAGGGTATACTGATACTTACCCTAAAACATACTTGTGGGTTGGACAAGAGCAGAGAGCATCAATATGGTGCAGACACACAAGATTGCTAGGACTGCAAGGACAATACACTGCAGATGTAAAGCAGGTTGTCTTACACTTCACACACTGCCGTTCATCATCTGCTAGTAACTCCAGATCAATCTTTTCAGATTTAACAACACCCTGCACGAAAAAAAATCAAAACATATGTGAACTGCTTTACCTGCCAGTAGATTTGAAGTTCTCTACAGCCAGTCAATTAATACACCAGTATCATATCACATAGTCTTGAAGTTCTGTCTGACACAATGAGCCCAATTATACCATCGTGCTGTTTTAACATGCAGTAAAATGTGCAGTGCATTTGTGTGTTGTGATGCCATTTTTACACCTGGGCCTCAAAAAATGCAGCCTGCACTATTTTTTTCATGGACTGTAGCCCATTTATTTGAATGAGCTGCTTATCAGAGTGCTTTGATGCACAAAAAAAAGCATGTGTAATGGCTCAGTACATTATGGTGTGAACAGGCCCTATAAGTGAAAGACCTAGACTAGAGAAAGCTTATTTGTTAAAGATTGTGAAGAATATTAGCATTTCCAGTAGGTATTCTACAGCTGCTCTTCTGCAGTTATTTCACCCTGGAATAGCTCTTACTGTTCCTAGAACCCACATATTGATAACACCATCAATAAAATCCAGTACCGAGCAGCAGGAGTGGTTGGGGCATGTCTTATCAAACTTGATCGGCTCCTATGATGCTAGAAGAACAAAGTGTGCCTATGTACTGTCACATTTGGGAAGAGCTCTTCTACTTCTAAATGTAATTAGAAAGCCAACAGTCCATTTTTACTTATTGCTTGGTCACAATAAACCGATTCATTCCTGTTCGACAAGCAAACTTTGGACTATAGGTTTATTTTACCTATAAACTGAAACGTAAATTTACACATTGAATAAAGTACTATAAAATGAAAGACAATATCTGTTCTCACCATTTTACGGACAGACTCACGAAGGGTCTTCTCCTCTTCAATCATATAGGCTAAATCCTTCTGTACAGAGGATGCAAGCACAACATCGAGTACTTCAGCTTTAGAAGCCATCTTGCATATCATCTCATCATGTGAAAAGACACAGTATCTGTTAAGGTGCCGATAATGTTCCACACACTGACGACCAAGAGGCAGCTGAAGTTACAAACAAGAAGGTGCGTGCACCAATAAATAAAAAGTAGCTTGTTAATGTGATATAATTAAACAACCCTGCTGAAGAAAAATAATTATGAAAATACTCCTCACATCTCATTCTATGGGAGAAAAAATAAATAAAACACTACTCTATTAGTTGTCTATATTGAGGGCCCAAGGCCAATGCAATCCAAGAATAGAAACCATTACATCGCTGTAATTTACAGTAAGTGGCGGGATTTGAGCATAAGACAGACAGGTAGCCAATTGCTGTAAACAAACAGGTGCTAGTAGGTTCCCCTCAAAATTTGCCATAGCTTCTTACTCACTATGACGCATGATCAGGTATAGGTTCTACAAATACATAAAAAACACATTGTTTGCTTATTGCTAGGTGTCTATTGATTGCATCTGAGCTTATGGAAGGCAATTAGAACTGCAGTGACTATTTCATCATCGGATTAACCTTTTGAGCTCTGCTTAATGACTCAACTTATTGCACATATTGCAGAAAATCGATCAACTTCTAGAAAAAACACCTATTAGACTGATAGATTACAGCACTGGTTTATCGTTTCAGACTATTGATAATGTCTTCATTACATGGTAATTTTAAAATGGCTATAGCATACAGGAGGTGGTGGGGAGAGAGAAGAAAAGCAACAGACCCTGCCAATAAATACACGAAAGGAACACTATAAAAAGGAAATGTATACATACTTTTCCAGCAGCTTGTGTTCTAAAACTCTGCTGCACTTATGATCCCTGGTCTGCAAAGGCATTGAACATGTTCGGGTGTGCAAATACTCCCCCTTTCGAGCCATGGTTCCTCCCACCAGCCCCTACATCAGTAAATGGACATAGGGTCCTGCAGTAGGAACCACAGCTTGTGGTGAGGAAGCAGGTATTCAATACACGAAATGTCAGATAACTGCAGTGGTTGAATAACATCAACTAAGTGGAGTTTTAGGATGCGGGCCACTACAAAAAGGTACAAATATTAATCTTTCTTTTACAGGGTGCCTTTACTTTATTTCTGTGCATGTAATGTCTGTGTTGCTTTATAGACAGCGGGCAGAGCTTTTTGAGACAATTACTGGGACAACAACAACAAAATCATGATGGTTGAGGAAAAGCAGGATGGGCAAAATTAGAGAGATGTAGGTAAAAATGTGTATGGGGAGTATAATATTAGAGGATTAAAAAGCAAAGAGCCCCCCTCCTCCCCCCCCTGACCAGCATGCCACAATTTGGTAGCAAACCACTACCAAGAGCATGAACATAAACACAAGAGGGGTGGAATTTGTGTCCCTGAATTGACTCCAAGTAAAGGTTTCAACAGTGAGTACAAAAATTCTATTTTTTTTCCCATCCACCGAGTGACACAGGAAGTCAAACCAGCAAGGCATCCATAAGAAGTCCCATTCAGGAGCTAGCAAAACAGCGAACAGACCCAAGAACTGGAACAGGGAACTTCATGGAGCTCAGGGAGATGCCTGAAACTGGCATGAGGAGAGGACAAAATGCCCACTTGGTAAAACTAAAATGTGTGAACTGAAGACCAAGTGGCAGCCTTACAAACCTGGGATACAGAGGCCTGATGCTGAAATGCCCAGGGCTCGGTCACAGCCCTGGCAAATTGAGCTTTGACTGGAAAGGGGGGAACCCAATCCTTGACACAATAAGCCTTAACAATGATCTGCCTGTGCCACCTTGAAATAGAGGAACGAGAAGCCAGGATACCCTTCTTGGACCCATCTGGAATGATGTCTTGTGAAAGAAATGGCAGAGGGATACACTTGAACAGTCCTAACCACATACAGGTGAGACCACTTTTTGTCTCGATGTAGGACCAAAAAGGGTTGCTTGAAAGGATAACCGTGGTGATGGCAAAAAGGAAAATTATCTTGTGCATCTATGAAGAAAGAGGAAAGTCTATATGTTTAAATAGATGCTTCTGAAGCACATTCAAATGCCATGGAGGCAGAGGGAATTTGACCCCAGGAGCTACATGGGAGTGGGAAGCCAACAGTCTCTGGAAAAAAAAAGGCAGGAGCCCTTGGCACCCCTGATGGTTCTAAGGGCCAAATGTTGGTCCAGACCCAACTAAAGAAATGAAAGCAACCATCCCATGGAGAACTGCGTGGGGTAGAAGTCTTGGAACTCATACCAAGCCAAGTGTACGCTTTCCATGTCCAATGATAGACCTTGCAGGAAGTAGACTTCCTAGCCTTGAGCATCAGAGGGGTAACACTCTTAGAGATGCCCTTGTTCAATAAAAGCTCAGCCTACACAGCCATGGCGTTAAAGAAAGTGACTGAGAAGCATGGTGGTATATTGTTGCTTCAAAACAGCAGATCTGAGACATCTGGCAGAACCCACGATGTGCCCAGAATTCTTACCAGGTCCTAATGCTATGCTCTCCTGGGCCAACCCAGGACCTATGAAAACCACAGGAATGCCCTCCATCTTGACCCTGAAGCTTTAGAGGAGGAAAGGGATAGATCAGGTGTAGCAATCCCATGGAGCCACCAGTGCAAATACTGCTTCTGCCAGCAGATCCTTGCATCTGGATATAAACCTGTGAAGTTTTTGAATCTGGAGGCCAGGAGATTCACATTTGGCATCTCCGACCATCTTCAGGTGCAGACACCGTTCTCCCAGGTCCAGGCGCTGTTGAGAATTTGAGACATGAGGTACAGATGGATTGTCCCCTCTACAGTCTGATTCTAGACACTAATGCATCAAGTAATGTACAGGCCTAAAGGTAGGCGATGGAGCCAGAAACTGTGCAGCTGGCAGACAGCACGCAAGACTGGAGGCTCTAACTGCCTTGAGTGGCCAAACGTCACTGCAGGCGGACAGTAGGAACAGATCAGGGATCGAAGTTGTACGTGGTTCTCGGAGCAGGACCAGCAGTGGGAAGATGGTTCCTCAATGTTGTATAGCGGGAGAGGGAGTTAAAAGTGTGTGCGGCCCCCCCCCAGTGGAATGTTGACAGTGCTTAGTCCCACATACTAGCCTCTTCTACAGCAAACCGGTGGGAAAAACTACAAATTAGGCACCCAGCAACTAATAAAAAGGAGGAAGCTCCCAGTGCCTAGCCTGAATAGCGTACTCACAGAAGTGAGGCTTCAGCAACAGAGAAAGCACAAAGGTAATGTTAATAACTTTGGACCTGAACAACACTCTGCAGTTGACTTAACCAGAACCGCTCATATGGAGCACAGTGCCCCAGTGTTGCTTCCAGGCTTACCCTGGGATGTTTGATGCAGCAGGGTGAAATTGGAGCAAAACCAAAATTTGAAATGGAGGAGGACTAGTGCGCAAGATAGCTGCGAGAAAGTGATAAGACCTTTCAGCTACAGTGAGAAAAATCTTATTGAAGTTAAAAAATTAAAATAAAGAAGGAGGTTAAGTCTTGAATCTGCAGAGCTGCAACAAAACAAACATTTTTTTTAAAAAAAGGTCAATCGTCCCTAGGACGCGAGCAAAGAACTTAAGCATGAAGGAGGCAGGAGGGGTTTTACCAGGTGTGAACTACAGTTTTTTGTTACCTAGTGTCGAATCTTCCTGAAATAAGCAATATAACCAAAAGCTTTAAGACTCCCTTTATCCCTCATCAGCCAAAAATAAAAGTTCATGAAGGACTGCATTAGCAGGGATTGGGACTACAGGAAACCTGTGCTTTGCCCAATCAGGGCAAAGCAACAGGCTTGCTTTAATCTCCCCAATCCCTGCAGAATTCTTTACAATGCTCTCAATCCACTGTTTAAAACAGAGCTGGAAAAAAAAACACTGAGGGGAATTCATCAAAACTGGAGCAGACAAAATCTGGAGCAGATACCAAGGCCAATCAGATTCCCTGTTCAGTTGAGGTTTGAAAATGAAAGAGATAGTGATTGGTTGCCATGCACAGCTGCTCCAGATTTTGTCTGGTCCAGTTTTGATAAATTCCCCTCAATATGTTCAGGTGCAATTGAGCAGGAGACATTCTAGCCTTATAATTTCATACACATTTTAAATCATTAACCCTGCATTTCCTAATCGGCAGAATGAAAACTTTCATAATTGTGGCAATGTTCCTTTTAATGCCTACTCAGCACAAATATTTTCCTTACCCAGTCCACTGTGCAGAAATTCACAGCCTCTGCAAAGTTGAAGCCCTGGTTAAAGCCGCTGTGATACGCACGCGGAAAAGTTATAACAAATTCTCCAGCACACTGATTAGTCCGATATATCTGTAGAGAAGCACAGAAGGTATAACAACAATATGCACATAAAGAAAGCTTGAATAAATTACTTTTTAAAATGCATACCGGCACACCATGAGCCATCAATGTATTGGGATTCATAATCGTGACCAACTGATGGAGGAGGTCAGGCTGAGCAACAAACAGTTCTGGAGCTAGCTTCTTCATTACTTCCTCCAGCTGCTCTGCAGCATATCCAGGAGCTCCATACCAGGTCTTTGGCTCACCCCTGGAAAATTGTCTTATGTTGGTAAAATGCTTACAACAGGCTTTATGTTTCACATCATAACTAAATCTCACCAGTGCAGGTAATTGATAGAATAACTCCAGTGGTCTTCAATGTGCCAACAAAAGGAGGAAAAACACATGCCCACGTAAAGCCATGGCAACTTCATTCCACATATGTCAGCTGTTATATGGGTTAGCACAGAAGGGTCCATGATTGGCATATTATTTAGATTCCAGCCACAATCCAGGTACTCCTAAAAGGAGGGCAAAAAAAAAAAAAAAGGATTAGTGACCAACTAAGTTCTCAGTGAACTAAAAATAGCATACAAAATAATTATTTTACCTCATCTTCCGGCTTTACGCGAAATTTGCCATTCCGCACAGGAAATCCACTTCCAAATTCCTTGGATGCAATATCGGCTCCATATTCAACAGTTACATCCTCCTCTATGGTGCTTACTAGTCGCCAAAATTCCTTTTCCACCAACTCTGTGGGTACCATCTGAAGTGATGAGAAAAAAAAAAAGTGTTATCTAGCAATCTTCCAAGACAGCACTACAGGGATGACTCCCCTCACCAAAACAAATCAGACAGACAAGACCACCTTTATCTTAAGAACATTTGAAGCAACCTTTTATGATTAAATAAAACCAGAAGAAACCTGGTCCTACTCTCCCATTATAGAATAGACAAAATGCAGTGAAGGAATATAACTGCTGCCCTACAACATTACAGGACATTATCTAAGTTTCATCAGGTCAAGGCAAAAACAAAAAAACTTTTATAGAGTATAAGAATATCTTCCATAAAAACTACTCACAATGAGACGAGCAACAAAATGGCAAACAGATCCCAGAGACAACCAATTAGCCGACATGTTTTAAGGGGGCTTCCCCCTTCCTCAGGAGCTAGTATGTTACATTTCTGCCCCTCAAGTAACCCCAGACACCAATGATCTTTTTAACCATTTATAAGCGGGACATTTTTCACAGTAAAAACCAATGTTAAGGAGTTCTTCTTCCATTGACCTCTAGATTTTATTTTATTGGCAGGGGTTCCACGAGACCCCAAGAAATTTATTTTACGGGTTCCTCTGGGGTAAAGGAGCTGAGAAAGCTGGACTACACAAAAAGGTCTCTTAAATGTCTCACTAAAGTAAAAAGAATGCACTTTATCCCTAAAAGAAACTTCTAAAACCGTGTTCTGGTGGAAGATACTTGCACATAGCACTGTAAGACTCCACAATGTCTACGTAGGAATAGAGTTCTACCATTTCCTCTTTAAAACCTGACAAAAATTGCTATTTTTCTCCATGTTCTTGAAAGATACATGTTTCTTCATCCAGACTTTATTAGATGAATGATTACAGAAAGAGGTCAAGGTCATAATCTCTTTGAGTATAAGAAATCTGGATGACATTATAAAGTCTGGGTTGGTGAAAAAAAGAAAAAAAAAAAAAAAATCACCATCATCAAGAATTACTGCCACAAAAGGGTCTTGTAAGAAAGAAAAAAACTTTGCTGAAACAACCATTATGCCCTATATATTTTCTAATTAAAGTATCCTCTCCCAGGCTCAATAATACACTGAAGGCTCATTCTTCTACTTTGAAGTTTCCAAAACAGAGAAAAACATTTTTTTTTTTTTTAAAGTCAGCTGCCCCTTGAAGGATAACCTGAGTCTGAACAGGCCCTGGCTTATTAAAACAATCCACTGACAATCCACAATGCTGGTTTCAACAAGACCATTGGAGAATGGAAACCTAAAACTATGATGCAGCTAGTCAAACCTGTGCAGAAACAAAGATTTTTATCGGGAGATGTGAGCAGCAGAGGGCCACCAATGGGCAAAGCGAATACATTTTACACATACAACAATTTAGCAATGTAGATGACACAGATTTTCATTTCAAACATACACATAATTTAGAAGTGGTTGTAGGTAGGTTTCATTTTGTTACATTAGCTGAGGGAGGAATTTCTGAGACAAGCTGCAATTTGTAGTAAATCTGTATCAAGATGTGTGTCACTGTTGCACAGAATTACCTTGCTGTGTGGGGATAAAAGGTCTCTACCATTAATTCATTAACTTTGCTTGTACTGCTCCCTCTTCCCGTCAGCACATGCGAATGCAGCAAAGCCCAACTGACTCCTAATGCTTCCTCATCCCTCTCTGAGTGCTGCTGTGGGGGAGGGCTGTATTATAACAGTATACCGGGGATATAAAGACTGATTCAGGTACTAATGCTCAATGGGTTTAAAATACATTAAAATTACTTTTAATAAAATGCACAGCTGCACACCAATAATTGGTGATTTTGTTAGTCAAACTATAGTCTGAAGTTCAGTTTTAAGCTAGAAAAAAATTCTTAGTTGATGCTTTGAGAATAGATGTCTGGGGTCATCTCCTAAAGTTAGGTAGAAAAATAATTTTGACCACTTTTCTTGAAAAGCAAAGAAAGCAATCTGTGGAAGAAGAGTTTTGACAGTAAAGTATATCTAATGCCCAATTGAGAATATAAAGAGAACATGTTCTTCATTGGTGCATGATGCAAAAATATACTAATAAGGACCTCTACACAAGGCCTTAGTAGATTCTTGCATCATTACACAATTATGAAATAGAGAACTGCCAGAAAATGTCTTGTCCAAGTCCCTTGGCATTGTCATTGCGTAGAGCTGTGCCTATTTACAAAGCAGGGATAGTCAATGTCATCACCCTAGGATCAGTATGGTTAATTCCTGTCTGGAGACGGCAACCCGCAGATGCTGCAGTGCCGTCCGTCCGGTTTTTTACTACGGGCGGACGGCAAGAGGTTAATGGCACTAAGCTACCTCACAATCTTCCACAGATTCAGTTAACTTTAAATATCTTCTCTAAATATAAAATTGCTCTAAAATATATTCTACTCTGTAAGCCACACAAAAGTGGGCTGCAACAGAACCAAGTTTACTATGGTTACAATCCCGCCCAGTCCATCGAGAGAAAAATCAAGTCAGCAAAGGCAGCGCCCATATTTCTAAACATGGTTTTCTTTTAAGGGGCAGGGACTCCATGCTCCTATAAATAGATTACATAATGAAAGAGCTTATTTTATTAGGTGTACTCCAAAAAGCTGTGTGCCCCAAAAGAGAAATTGTAACTGAATTTACCCTCCTCATCCTACACATGCCACTGGCAGAAGAAACCATGATCTGAGCCAAAATAAATCTCACTTGGGCCAGGAAATATTTCATAGTGATTGATACACCACACAAGTAAAACCTGCACCTGACCAAATCAGGAGAGAGATGCCAGGTTGCTCTAGAATGAACAGGTAAGGGAGCACACAAGCCCTCTGGCTAAGGAGGAGAAAGAACGCATATTGCAGCCTGCAATAGAGAGGAAATCAAGCGAAAACTAAAATTAAGGCCATCCTCCCTCCCAGCTCATCAGGGTAAGCTTACAAGAGTATCTGATCTGCCTTGTGGAGCAAGGTATGGGAAACTTACTCTTTAGTACAAAGGCCACAAAAAAAAATTAAAAAAATTATATTTATAGCTACTGTATATATATATATATTTTTTTTTTTATTTATTTATTAGTGGGTGATCGAATAACAGGCGAATAAACGTGGTTTGATTTTGATTTATAATCATGGTGATCTTGTGAATTCTGATTTTAGGTAAAAAAAGTCACCTTTCTAGTGATCCAACATGGAAATATTTGCAGTCTATAGACTTCATGAGGACACACAAGATTTTACGGGGGAAAAAAAACAAAAAACTTACATGAACAGGCATGTTAAAATAGTCAGATTTGAAATGATCAGCCATCTCTCCAAACATACGTAGTGTATAATCTCGGGCAGCTTGTTCAAAACCAAATGCTTCTTGTGGCTTACTACATTCCTGAAATGAAAGAGAAAAAAAAAATCCATAATTAAAACCATTAAATCTATAAAATTCAAGGAAGGCGAGATTTCTTGGACTTCCTGGTTTAGCTAGATTCAGTACAGCACAAAAATGTGAAAATAAGATTTTTGTAATGACCATAACATCTCTCAAAGTCCATCCAGGGACAAAGGATTTCTATTACATCTGTGTATAAAACCACCTACAAGGACACTAGCAAAAAGAAACATGTGTAAGCCAGCCCCCCCTAAAAACACTTTTCTACCCAGCTGGCCTCTGTTTTTTGAGAAAGCATTACACAGAGCCAGAAAAAAACAAAAACAAAAACAGAAAGGCAGGACTGGTCTCACTCACTGGACTTCAAAAAAGATTTGATGCCAAGTACAAACATTTTATTTTATATATCGTTCAATAAAGAACATAGGTATTACATTAAAGTTGGCACTCAAAGAAGCAGTCCAAATAAGAAGCGACAGCCACCAATAAAATCTTAGGACTGTCACATGTCAGAGGAACTAACTCTCAAATCAAGGCTTGATAGGGAGAAGCTCACTGCAAGACAGTAGAACAACCAAGACCAAAGAAGGGCAGAGAATGAACCCGATGTTCCAAATCAAGAGGAAAAAAAAAAATCAAAGTGAGAGACAAAAGGCCCAAGCCTTGTACTCTAAAGTCTTGAAGCAGGTAAAGAGGTGCCATAATAAGGAAAAGGCTGTGTGCAACCAATCTTATAGCAAGATATCAAAGTTGTGAGAGCCTTGCCCAACAGAGCTGCAGAAGACTCCCACAAAGAGGACCCAACAATGATCTCGGATTCTAAAATGCAGAACCCAATGTCAATAGGGGAATATGGGCTGAGGTCACCTGTGGCAGCAGGACAGTGATTTAGAAGCATCACCAGTTGGATCATGTTTCTCGCAGGCTAAATGTCAGGAAGAAGAAAAAGAAGAGCACAGGCACACAATTCAGAGATGATCTACAGCGTAGTGATGCACAAATAAGCCACATTTTTGTTAACAGTTAGGGTACTTGAACAAATTTTGAAGGTTCAACCCCTGAGTTTAGTGTCACTTTAACTAACCTAGAGCATGAAGTTCTGGAAAGCCCTATAGGCACCAGCGGCCAAAGTACACTCCATTTATCTTCTCTCATGCCAACTCATAGCTCGAGTCTTCAGAGACTGGATCACACAAATGGCTGTGCCACAGCTCTGGACCTGAAGTGCACCCTGAGACCAATTAAAACAGCACACTAAGGTCTGGAAAGCATCTCATCGGCAGAGCTCAGTGTCCGAAGTCCCATTCGGAGTAGGCTTTACAATCCTTAGTCCAGCGGGTTCTAGGCATGGCCTCCAAGGATAAGTCGATCTGGAAAGCTGCTGTTTAGAAACCAGCTCAAGCTAATAAACAAATCTAATCATCTTGATTGTAGAGAAAAAAAGATCCACAAAAGTACAGAGAAGAGTTCCAAACTCCTAAGGCAAGACAGTTGGAGTTAAGCGGTTTTTTTTTAACTAGTCTAAAACTAGGGCTAAAACAATCCATCTGTAATTAGAATTGCCTTTAGTGGAAAAAACAGTCAGAATTGTCAATACCACAGAATAATACACAATGGTAATCTTTCAAGAGGAAAAGGATAACATTTCTCTTACCCAGCTGTGCTAAAAGCTCCCGAAACAGTTTCTAATCTCCACATATCCTAGCCCAGCCCCCCCCTCCCCCCCCCACACAACCAATCAGGAAGCTGGACAGCACCTCACGACTCGCTGGCCGGCTTTTTGATTGGTCAGAAAGCCAGGTAGCCTCAGCAAGTGAAGCCCGCGTTCTTTTGCTATAACACCGGCTTCACAGGCAATCAGGAAGCCGGCCGACAGGTCATTATCCGCCACCCGACTTCCTGCTAATCAGGGCACACGGCACCAATACTCTGTATCGTGGAGTACTGGGGAAAAATATCTGTACTCGTACTTAATACAGAAAATCGGTATCTGTGCATCCCTACTGTATATGGGCCCTTCCAATAATATGGAAAGTCGAATGGCATTTTTTGGCACCTGTACAATGCCTCCTCCTGGATCTCATGAAAACTGCAACAGGAAGTACTAGGGACAGGGAGCCTATGATTTTTTTATGCTTTAGGATGGAAGCAAAGAAACTGAATCTGCCTGTCCGCAAGAAAAAAAAAAAAAAAGAAAAAGCACGTAGAAGACTTGCAGATGCAGGATTAATCAATCACACTCCCTATATGCCCTTTAAATTAATCTAATTCTCAAAAGCTCAAATAACTTTATATTACGTTTAATTTATGTTGAAATTACATTATGTTATGTTAAGTACCCACATATTAGTTTGTAATGGTGAGCAGCAAAAGATTTTTTACCTGTGCCAGACATTTTGGGCATCTCCAGTCACCTTTGGGCACATCATGAAGTGGAGGAATAAGACAAAAGGTGTGGTAACTGTCATCACAACCATCACATAGGAGTAAACGGTCCTCATCACTTCCACTCCCACATATAAAACATACATATAAATCCACCTGAAAAAAATCCAGAACAAATATACTTTCAGTATATGCAATAATGCAAGCTATGGACAGAAATTCGCGACATCATTACGTTACATATGCATACAATCAAACAAGCGTTTTCTATACTTACTGGGCTTCTGCCTTTTCTGGATTTTAATTTTGGCTTCTCTATAACTATTTCCACTGGCTCTCGTTTCACATGCACATTTTCATCTAGCAAGAAAAGACGATTTGATGACTTACAAAAATATTAACAGTCATATGCAACAGCTGCACATACTACAGTTACTAGGGATATGTGAAAAACACTTCACACCTTCGCCCCACATTCCCTGCAACCCCCCAATTCTTTGAAAAATATTAAAACCTGTAGACCTCAAGTATGTTTAAGTAGAAATTGGAAAAGGGGAAGAACAGGATTGTGAGCAAATAGAATTCAACCAAATATGGACAGCCATGAAGATGTTTTCTAGCCATAAATATTGTGTGGCATCTGACAGACAAGAGCCAAAAGATTTCCAGCAGCAGGACTGCAGATGAACAGTCTAAATAGGCTGAAAAGGGAAGGAACAAAACAGATTTTTACCAGCAATAAAAATCTGTTTCATCTAAGTCGCAGTAGCAGCACAGTAGATTAGCGCATAAACAGGCCCAAATTAGGAGACCAGGCAGGTTTTTTCCTGCCTTGTGGATTGCTCACTGCTGCTGATGCAGCCTCTGCAGCATAGTAAGTGTGGAAATTCCACCCATGGGGGTGTCAAATACCAATGCCCAAATCTGTCTTGCACAAGGAATCCAAAAGGCAAACTGGGTGCTCAGCAATCCGTTGCACCTTGTAGAAGTGGATACAAAATAAATGCTAACAAACTAGATTCCAGTACAAAATGTTTACTTCAGTTCCAGAAGTCAAAATGGTGGCTGAGTGATAGACAAATAAGGTACATTTCTGTTAACAGGTAAGGTACTTAAATGTACTTTTAAGATTCAACTCCTGAGTCGTGTCACTTTAAGAGTATTTTGATTGGAAACACTGAACAACAAGGTGGTTCAGGTACTGAGCTACCCCATTCTCTCAACAAGTGAGGCAGCACCACCAACTCTAGAGGTGATCCCGTCCTGCATCTTTCCGAGCCGCCAGAAGGCTCACCCAGTGCATAGTGAATGATGTATAGCGTCCCTCCCCTTGTTTACTGGACCACGTGTTGGATATAATGTTTACTAATGGTGGCAGGATACCTGCCATAGTGCAGGTCATGAACTGGCAGAAGAGTGCCAATCGCACCAGCTGGTATAAGAGCAGTTAAAGCACTAACAGCTTTGACAAGGTGGCATTGGGAGTGGTTCTGGGACATTGGACACTAGCAACTGTGGATGTGAACCTCTACCATGGAAATGTTGTCTCTAGAGATTGATGTTGTTCACTCACTTTTCCCTGACCCCATGACCCTCTGCGCTGCTAGATATGGGCCTCCCAATTTTATCCAGCTCACGATATGCAGCTGTTTAGATTTCGGATGCACTAGAGAATGTTGGAAAAAAGGTGAAGATGAGATCTGAAGCAATGGCTTGTACTTGTGGGGAAAATACACCCAATACAAAATCACAGGGTTGTCCCAAAAAAAAAAAAAAAAAAGTGTTGGATGTATTAATAAAACTGTGAACGCGGGAGAAAACAAAAAGGATGTAACCTACCACTACAATCCAGGGTAAATCACAGTAACTCTTCCTACATAGATTTTTTAGCTTTTCCTAACAGCTCCAATACACAATGACGATATAGCTGCTGTGAGCCTACTCTTACAAATTTTACATAAATGCTTCTGAACAGTGAAATACAAATTTGCAGCGTTTGTTACAAAGCTACAGTAGCGCAAATCTGAACCCCATCCCTAATTATAACACTTACCAAGCTTACCGTCATCACAGACGGAAGGTGTAGATCCCATCCTGCGGCGCAAAGTTCGGGGTCTGAATTCTGGTGTCTCTTCTGGTTCCGTTTTAACCTGTACAGCCTTGAAAATGTAAAACGTATTTAATAATAAAAGTCGTCACTCAGCTTACAGACAAACAGAAGACACAGTGTTCTTTTCCAGAGTGCTCACCTCGGCTCTCATACGTTTAGCTCTTCTAGCAGGAGCACAGTTTTCTGAAGGCTGGACAGACTGTCTTTGAGGGATATCATGAGGTTTGTACTCCTTGTCCTTTAAATCTTGGACAAGATTTGGCTTCTGGAAAAAAAAAAAAAACACACAACATTAACTGGTTTAATAGGTGAACATGTTGCACAGCGAAACAATCCCCTCAAAATGAAGACACAGACAAAAACACAAACACATTCTTAAGTGTGTGAAAGAGTTGAAATTTCTGGCAATGTCCTTACTGCTGTTTGTCTTGTCCTAGCATTACAGAACAATGAGTCTTGTCCTAGCATTACAGAACAATGAGTAAGGGGAAATCTCAATGTGCCACAGCATTTCAAAACACAGGCTGCCAGAAAGGCAAGTATAGATGGGCATGGCCTTTTATAAGTGACCATGTGGTTCAGAAATTACCATTGGCTAACTTAAGCAGATTTGAGGTGGGGCGGGGGTATTTGGATTGGCTAAGTTAACTGATCTAGAGCGACTTAACCTTATTAAAACATTTTAAATGAAAAAAACAATGTTATCTAAAGACAAACATTTATTTGTATGTATTATAAACAACAAGCAGCCTAAAACTCAAATTACCAAATGGATGTTTTCCCATACACAAACAACTCATGCTCGACATACAGTATGGCTATGTATGAAACATTAAACTTTAAAGTTTATGTACAAGATACCTTATCCACACCTACGTCATCCATATATCCAGGCATTTTGGTGTTGGAGTCTGAAGCCTGTTTGAAAAGAATTAAATAATGCCATCACTAAAGTACCTTTTTCAAACAAATAAGAAATGTGACTGAAGAACTAATTTTAGGATAATTTCAACCGTAATGAAGAATGAATCACAAGGTAAAAAGGAAACTAAGGCTGCCTTCAGATCTGTGTATCTACATTGTCCTGATTTTTGTCATGCATTGTCATGAATTCAAGTGTGCCGATATTAACATTATTAGGCCCTTTACTGTTGTGTGTTAACGCATAACAAAAAGATGGAAACCTTTTCACTTAATGAAACACACAGATGTGAATTGACACCATTAAACAATGGCAAACCTGTGCACATGCATGAATGTGTACTAAAAATATTAGTTTGACTGGGCCCTAAAGGTTTTCACCGCCTAGATTCCAGAGGGGGACGCAACTGCAACGCAGAGGTCTAGGAGGCCTGCAACGCTACAGCTGGAGAGGGCACGGAAGTTCAGTGGGAGCTGGACTTCCACCTGCAAATATACCATAAAATTTATGGAGAGAAGAAGAAGACACCACAGGTGGCCCTCAGTTTACAATGGTTCAATTTGCACCGATTCAAAAGTGAGGGAGTTAGGTTCAATGCCTCTCTCAAAACAAGGAACGGTTCTAAATAGAAACTGGTGTAAACTGAAACCCAGTAAATAATTTAAGTCATTGGAAAGTGAGGAAGCTAGATTCCTAGCCTCTCTTATTGACAGAAATTGACATAATACAGGTACATTTTATTTAAAAGCTCCTTGTGTGAGAGCATGCAGCAACTTTACATATAATGTAACTTTATTTTATTACTTGTGTCAATTTTGAGAAAGGTCTGGAACATAACTCTCTCGCTTCCAATTGACTTACAAAATATACTGGGTTTCAATTTACACCGGTTTCTATTTACAACCATTCCCTCAAGAACCTAACACTGGTGTAAATTGAGGGCTACCGGTACGGATAATGGCAAGTGGGTTTTTAGAAAAGGCACTGTACAACCTACTTACTCTTATTAACTTACTAAGAGTTGGGCTTTAAAGCTTGTTTACACCAGCAGCTGCACAATTGCAAGCTGCTTGTGTGCATGCTCCTGGCACAGTGCTGATGCATTGCAGTGTTGTTTTAGAACTTTAGAAATTTTACTAGTGACATTTCATTACGTTCAATGGGTACGCCGCAGTTGTTCCGCGTTTCACTGCAATGCTCTAAAAAAAAAAAAAAAAAAAAGCACTGCATGACGTACTTTTATTAAGCACACATTACCGCAATGCAGTGGTGTGAACTGTGCCCACCCGTGACAAAGCAAATTGCCTTGTCATGCGTTCAGGCTGTGCTGGAAAAAAAAAAAACGTACAGACTGATTGTATCAGGTGAGAACAGGCCCTTAAAAGGAGAACTATGAGATGAGTGATTTCCACTCACCTCATAGTTCTAGCCGACCTGTGACAAATAGACTGTCACAGGTCAGCTCAGTAGATCGGGAGGTGAGCGAACACATACCAGGTTCGCTCACCTCTCGATCCTGTCACGGCTCTCTGCCGTGACAGGGGGAGGGCTGGATTCCCCTCTCCCCGCTCCGATCTGCCAGCGCTGACTGGCGGAACGGATGGGGGAGGGGCGGGTACAGCTGGCTCTGCCTCTAGATAGGCAGAGCCAGCTGTCATCTACGTCGGGATCCGCTCCGGCGTCTCAGTATACCGCGAGCTGTAGCTCGCAGTATACTGAGCTTAGGGTAACGGGAGGACGCTAGTTTGTGTCCTCCCGTTACCCTAAGGAGAACTATGGGGAAAAACACTGACCCCATAGTTCTCCTTTAATACAAAAATACATTTTTAGGGTTAAATTCGGCATTCAGCCAAAACTGCTGTCTGAATTCTGTTTGAGATGTTCTCTAATTTCCTGTCTTAATGAACACACAGGAAGTGAAAAACTGGTTTAAAAAAAAAAAAATTACAAGACATCTCACCCTTCCTTTACTCCCTTATGACCGGCCATTGGAGGTAAATGGCTGGTCAGAGGACCTGTTCCTCCTCTATGCTTGTAAGGCATCGGATATGTTTATTTTTTATCAAAGAGCTACTTGATTGCCATATCCACTATGTATATACTAAAGCATTTTCTGCCCCAGTACAAGCATAGAATTTTTAACTGGTGATTTAAAATGAAGACTGCATTATGCAAAACCCAAGCTGAGCTCAGACAGACTACATCAATGCACTTTTGGAAGGATATGCCACTCAGGGTGGGAGGTGTTTAAAATCACTAAATGTCTAACTATTCTTATTCAGCTCAACCAACTTAATACCAGCATGCTTCCTCATCTCCCAAAAAAACGGTTAGCTTGGGGTGTCTACTGTCCAAAAAAGGGGTAATTTAGGAATGCTTGAGCTGTCCTGACATTTATTCACAGTGTTTTATAACAAAAAGTATAGGAAACAAGTTTTTGTTAATGTTTGGCCTTTCATTTTTAACTATACAACAAGAAGAAAAACAGTGGTTATTAAATACCATTTAAAAGAATGCTCGGTCTCTAAAAATGAGACACAAATGAACTGGGTACCATATAAAACTAAAAATTGTGTTGCATGACCGAGTAATTGCGATTCAAAGCATAACAGCATTGAAAACTGAAAAATGGCCTGGAAAGGAATGGGGTGTGACATGCTGGTACTGAGGTGGCTAATCTATCCAAAAAATAAATAATAATATTTGTTCTGGAGTTTCACTTTAACTATAAATTGTGATAAATGCAGAATTCTTGCTTCTCCCCCCCAAGTTTAAACCAATCCTCAAAAATGACTCTTACCAGCACACTTGCTCCAGACTGAAACAAGGTGTAAGGGTAAAGAACGCGTTCATAATGGCCTCTAATGTGAGACCCGATGGCTTTTCCTGTAGAGAATCCCATTTTTGTAGCTATCTTTGTCCACTTCCTATCCCTGCAGACTGTATCAAAACCACCTTCATCAGTTACCAGCTGCAAGAAAGAACAAAAAAATTTTTTATACATTTGAGGAACACTAAAAAGGCATTATATTTACATACTTCTTTTACAGGCATGGCAGATAAAAGATAGACAAATATATAACCAAATCATCATCAGAACCAAATATGGGGAAGAAACATTTGATTTATCACCTTGTTTAGCTGAAACAAGTCCAGTATCTTTCTTTCAACATGAGGTATTTTCAGAGTGCATCCCTGTAATTCCCAAAACTTGGCTATCTGGTCCAAGAAGTTCAACTTCACCCTGGTTTGAGCCTGTGGAGATAGAATTTAGATATTGTAACATGGTGTGACAGGAAACACCTACTATACAACCTAACAAATGTAATTATTTTGTTTCCTGGGGGTAACAAAAAAATTTTAAATCTCCCCCAACTTTGTCCTGGTGACAATGGTAACCAGGACACAGAGGGTGAAAACCAGAAAAGGATTCTAACCTCTCACCACTCTATCCCAATTCAAAAAAAGAAAAATGTTGTGGCTTTAGATCAGAGATGGTCAATTCCTGGTCGCTAAGGTAAATTAAAATAAATCTCTGGCAAGAGGATCACTGATCGCAATCCCCAATAGGGAGGCGGGTGCTGAAATGTCAAGGCTATTGTTGGGAATATGGCAGCTAATGGGACTGTATTGACAGCCTGCCTTGCGCTAGATGGATCGAGCCAAGTCCTGACGGTGTGAGAAAAGCGTAGTCTATTTTATGCAACGCTGGCTGTCAACGCAATCAACTCATATGTTCTCAAGCTGTGCTGGCTTTACCTATCGACAGCCCCAGCATTTCAGTGCCAGCCTCCCCACTGGAAGTAGCTATATCAACATGTTGAGAAAACCTGCCATGTGTGGGAGGGACAGAGTCCCTTCTCTAGCTGACTGACTTTCTGTTATAAACCCCCCTCCTCTTCAGGCCCTCAGCGCTAGATTCATTCCTTCAAGCAGAATGAATTAAAGGCTGAGCACTGGTACTGCTGTTCTGGGCACCAGATTATAACAAATTGACAAATCACTAGGAGCAGCAAGTACCAGAGCTACAAGATCTGCACTGAATAGTAAATGTTCATGACTGGACCCCAGTTAATTTTTTTTTATAACTATATTTTGTGGGAACAGGATCCGCCTCTTGCATCAGGTGCAAAACTCTAAAGAACTGTCTGACCTTGGGAAAATGTTCCATCCGAAAAAGGGCACAGTATCATCCTAGGAAACCAAAGTCTCAGGGTTTGGGGAACCTACATTAATTCAGAATTACTATTAGGGTGCAGAATTCCAAATGCGAGAGGAAAAAAAAAAAAAAGGGCAACTGAGCAAGATGCCTAGTTATAGGAGTAAAGGCAAAAGGGGGAGCCTGAGCAACCAAACTGTAATGGGGGTATCCTTGGGACCCAATAAAGACAAACAAGAGACCATGAGTTATAAATTGGACAGAAGTCTTAAGCAGAAGGTTTGAAGCTCTGAGATCTGTGGTGCAACCAAGAGGCAAACTCCAAATGACTGAGGTATAGAGGCCATAGCTGATTAAGATAGACTGATCGAATCCACAGATCTCCTGCGATGAAGAAGGGGCATGGAGTGAGTTTGGACATGCCACTGTTAGGTGTATGAAGAGATGTCTTTCCTCAAAAGAGCAAGCGAATAAGGCATTCTTAAAACATTTTCCTTTTGCCCAGGAACGTAGGCAAAGAACTCAGCGCATATGGAAATACATCACTAACATGCAAGACACAAACCTAAATGCCTGCAAGAAATCACAGACATTTGTTCAATAAGATCCAAAGCCCAAGAGTTTTGACTTGAGTTAGAGGAGACACAGTTTCACAAATAAAGTCACCACCAACAGAGGACGTAGAGTAGTTTCAGTTACCTCAAACCGAGTTAAATAGGGAGCACAACTGTCCATCAGTGAAGTCCCTACAGCTAAAGGCACCATCAACCAGAGTGATGAGATGCCTGTTAAGGTGAAGAGCAGCTAGGGTCACAGAAGGTGGGGGGACCATTTGTCAAGAAAATACATATTAATGGGGAAATGCTTATTCACATTATCAGGAGGAAGCCAGGAATGCATTGGAAGTTCCCAATCCTCATAAAGAAATGTAATACAAAGTGTATAGGCAAGGACTTTGTGGTAGCACAAGCTCTTAAAGACATATACCTTTTACAGAACGTTGATCTACTGGACACATAGCAAAGCTTACTGTGTCAATCAGATTAGAAACAACAGTCTGCATATCCAAGTCATAAGGGACCAAGGCAAAAGCAGCATCTGCAAAAGCAGGCAGAGAAAGCTCTGAATCTCAATCAGAGATGGTGATAAGGCTTATAGATTCTCTGACAGAAAAGGGGCCAAGCAGGATCAGAACTAGGCTCTGCTGTAGATGGTGCAGAACACGAGAAAGTCAGAATTGGATATTAGAGACCTAGTAGACACAGTGCAGGTTTCATGCTCAGTCAGCAGAGCTTCAGGAGGGTTGCTGATGAAGAACCTATAGATATGAGTCCATGACTCCAGATAACAGGCAATGCTCCACTTATCAGTAAGAGTATGGAACGAGGTCACCCGGTGCAGTGCAACTGTCTTCTGAACTTCTTTTAACAGACACGTTGCACCAATTAGCGGTAAGCAACTAAACTCAAAGTGAGACAAGGCATTGTGTACTCACAAACCCAGACAGAAGGGCATGGTCATAGGCAGTTCAAGGTGATCAAGTTAATGTACGCGGGGAGTGGAACAACTCAAGAGACCAGATGAACTGGGCTAGTTCACACCATAACTGCATCAGAACTGCAGGCGTCTGCGCTTTTTATTTCCGCTTAAAATGGACTTTCAGGTGCAGTCCAGTGCGTTTGCATATGTTTTTGATACGCTCCGTTACAATCAGGCGCAGCTAAAATGCGGTACGCAGGATTTGTTTCTGACCGCATTGGAACTTACTGCACAGGTGTGACAAGAGCACCAGAAATCCCATTGGAAAGCACTGTGACACAATTTTGATGCAGCTGCCAAACTGAACAGACTGCATGACAACTGCATCTGGTGTGAACTAGCCCTAAGGCAACAATAGCAGCGGAAAGATAATTCCTTCTGAGATGAAAGGCAGGAAAGTAATGTGGACTTGCCCACGCAGTTCCCTTTTGGCTGAACCTCAGGAAAAAGGGTGGACATTTTCAAAGACAAAAAAGGTGCTCAACAGAGGCTGGGTCACACTAAAGTCTGTGCCACAAGTCTGGACCTGGATGGCACCCTGCAGCTAACCTCACGCACAAGGGCCTGTAAAGCACCACAAGGACAGCTGCATTCCAGGCTACACAGCAACCTTCAGCGCAGCAAGGTCCAAGTAAGGCCACTGAAGGTATTGCCGAGGCTACGCTTATCAGGATATCTGCTGAAAAGAGAAAAGAAAAAAAAACGAACAGCACAAGCAGCATAATAGACAGTCTGGCTGAAGAGAAAAAGCATCCAAGAGTACAGTATGTTGAAAGAAGAGAAAAAAAATAGCAAACCTATAGATAGAAATTTTAAAAAATGCAACACTGCCAAAAAACTGAAGCATAATGGTTAGGAGGTGAGGTTATACAGGGAGCTAGATTAACGTTTGGTTTGCCACTATCTCAACCTCCTGAAGGTGGCAGTTTAACCCATTGGTCTATGACTATTCACTATTCCTGTGGCCCTCAATGAACAAGAAAGAAAAGATCAGCCCAACTCCAGCATGGATTTGCTAATCTGTACTCAAAAGTTTAGTGTACAAGGCCATTTCAGATGTTTTATTCCTCCATATACAGCAAGTCAAAGTAAATGCTACTTTGATTTGCTGTATATGGAGGAATAAAACACACAACAAAGTGGAGCTTACATTTTCATACTTGACGAGAATTAGGTCTCACAGTAGCATAAATGCTCCATGTTAGGATCTCAGAGACTTAAGAGCACCTAACAGTATACTAAACCCTGTCTAAACCATGTCACAAAAAGCAATCAAGTTTGGATAAAACTGCACTTTAAAACACCATGGGAAAATTCATGAACAATTTTTAGGACTAATGAATTACATACAAGACATATCTGAACATTGTAGAAAATAAAAAAATTCAATATGTTGATAGTTTAGGCATTAAATGAATATTGGATGGAATGCATCTTAAAGGCAAACAACATTTAAACTTCAGGTATCTGAACAAAACATTTATCAAATATTCAGGTAGAAACAGTGGCTTAACAAAAGCAACACGATGATGCCTTCCTGTGTGGCCAGGATATACCACGCATGGAAAATATACATGGTGAGTTTTCTGTTGGCCACCTCTGCTCTCATTGCACTTCCTCTAGCTTTATTCACTGGGGAAGCACAAACATGTTCACTAAAAGTTAAACTAAAAGTTAGTAAAATTGTGTATTTTTTCTCCATTTATATTTTTGCATGGACTTTTAGTCCAAGTTGTGCATCCATTTAAAAAAAAAAAAGTTTGTATTTTTACATATGGCTAAAACAACTGAATCTGAATTAACCACTTCCAGCAGGTTCACGTAAATACACGTCATCCGCTGGAAGTGGTTATACCACGAACACGGCTGCTGCTACAGCCGTGTTCTTGGTACCATTTTAAACAGCAGACTATTGCTGTTTAAATACAAGTGATCCGGCGTCTGTACAGGCGAGCCTGGGACCGGCATGGTGGGTCTCCCCTGATGGATCGGAGGGAGATCAGCAGGCTTCCAGCCGCTGAGCGCTCCTCCGATCACTGGACCCGAAAGTGATGTGCATTGCATCACTTCCAGTGTCATTGTGCACATTCTCCAGCTCCTAGAGCCAGAAGAAGCAGATCTCTGCTTCATCAGCTTCTTTGGGGTCCCTAGGTGACATTAGGGGTCTGAAAGACCTCTGATGTCTCCATAAAGAGGACCTGTCACATTATGTTTGCTATTACATATGGGGGTTTGTTAGCCCCCTATGTGACAGCAATAAAGTTGAGTGTAAGGGGGGGAAAAATGTAAATTAAAGTAACATTTTTTTTTTAAGTTCCCCGCCCCCCACGTGCACGCACATACAAAGCAAACACGCGTCAGATGCGCCTACATGCAAAAGCGAAAATTCCTATACATATTGTCACGAGCGTCGGAGTGAGAACAATAATTCTAAGCCCATCAATCACTGTTAACACTATACTGATGAGCCGTAAAAGTGTCACCTATGGGAAATTTTGGTTATTGTAGTTTTTTGCGGTTTCACGGACGGATGCAATTTTAAGGCTTGACATGTTTGGTATCCATTTAGCCGGCGTGATCCCATCTTTTATATTTTACCAAAAAATTGGGCATTATATTCGGTTTCTGTGCACTAAATTTCATTCTAGTGTAATTTATCCTTAAAACTAGCATCTTTTTATTCTACAAGGCCTCTGCTTTCAGAAAATATATCATTGTTTGGGGTCTGAAGCTGTTTTCTAGACAACATAATTAAGATTTTATCATGTGTATGCAAAATGTAAGAAATTGCTCCGGGCAGCAAGTGGTTAAGTAAGCCTCTAGTAATCCCCTGAACCACAGGCATCAGACTAGATAGAGGGTCATCACTTAAGGAATAACTTTACCCTTATCTTTAAAAATCACAACAAAGACACCTTTAGAAATGTTTAGTAATGGCATTCTACCAAAAGATACTTAAAAAAGGTAATTGCAGGCGTTTTATTCTTTGCATACCTTATGTCTCTTTTCCTCTCCAGTCTTATTGCAATAGCCATTTTCACTAAGGGCAGATGAATCCATCTCCCTTTACTTCCTGGAACTCTGAGTCTGCCTTCTGGATCATATGCACATCTCAGGGGCCTTTCCCTGAGATCTTGCAGTTTACAGAGAAGATTTCCGGGCAATGCACTGTGATGCAACCTTCTCAGGATGCATCTCTTGGGCATGGGCTACATCACTAACGTCTAAGAGGACCAGGAAGTAGAAAAACAGTAATTGTAAGCAAAAGAAAAAAAATGTCTGTTCAACTAACAAATGTGAGATGATTTCATATCAGCATGCAGAGCTGCTTACTGATGTGATTTTTAGTGAAAGGGGGCACAAGTCCACTTTAAAGCCAGTCAGGACCCTACCGCTTTGTACAGTTCTGTCAGACTAAATGTAAGCATGCTTATAGGAGGGGAGAGCACAGGGATGTCCTCATTACCATGTTCCCTCTTTATTCAATCACCAGCCAAAGTTGGTTCTGGGTCACGGCTGTACTGCTTAGCTGCACAGATGTAAGCAATAATGCCTCTTATAGCAGCCATTCTCTGAATCCTACGCTGCTTACTAGTTCTGGGACATGGATGTCACTTGAAGAACGGTCAAAATGAACTATGCTAAAAGTAGCATGCATATTGGAGTAAGAGTACTAAAAATCCTCTATCTGAAAAACACTACAGTTTAGGCATATGTCAATGCAAAATAATAATAAAAACCAAAACGAAAAAAAAAAAAAAAATGCTTATTTCCCCATGTTTTACCCCTTTTTATACCCTTGAAGTACATACAAATACCTGTTGATCTGCCCGAAAACGTAGGTTGACAACACACAGAATTTCTGTGGACCAAGTGTGGTTAGCTCCACCCAGAGTCCTTTGCTAAACTACTCGTCCACTCAGATCTCTACCACAATAAATGTATGACAAGATACAGTTTTTTGTTTTTTTTTGCACTTATCAAAACAGGTATAAACAAAATGCTGCCAATGGTACATTAGACAAAAAAAGGAACCAAATAAGAGAAGTTCAAGGTTAGGGTTTATGTTAACGTTAAAAGTAGAAATTGCCAATTTATAATGGCTTGCTCTACATGAAGGTCTGTCACAGGAAGTAGTAACAATACAAAAAAACAATGAACATCTCAAAACTACCACAAAAGTTCATACTTTCAGGTTAGAGAACAGTTAAAAACAGTTAAAAGCCACCTGCTGGTTACCAGTCCAAGCTTTTAGTCAAATAACCCCCTCATTTTCAGAACCGCCTTGCCTGCCCTCCTTCTCCATGATCTTCTCAGCATTGTCCCATTCACACTGAATTATAGTTTACTCTTCTACAGCTCTTCCTCTCTGAAGGCCGTGACACACTGCAGGCGAAGCAGCCGGAGCGGTGGCGCGCTGCCTTTGCGAGCAGTGTGTCATGTAATTTTCTCCTGGGCACCTCAGCTGGCGAGAGCTCGCGGAGCTGAGCGTGCCAAGATCAACAATTCCAACTTCAGCCAATCGGCTCGCGCGAATAAACCAGCGCGTCGGTATGCGACAGCTGGCTGGTTGTTGTTGTTGTTACGGACGAGCCGATTGGCTGAAGGTGCAGTCAATCATCTGACTGCAGTCAATCATCTGAGTGCAGTCAGCTCACACACTGCACGCAAAGCTCCGTGCCGGATAGCTTTGCAGTGTGTCACGGCCTTTATGCATCTCCTAGTCTCCAATCCTCAGCCTAAAGTAAACCCTCTTATTTTACTACACTCATTGTTCTTTATGCTCTCTCTACTCCTTTAACAAACAGGCACACAATTGATAGTAGTAGTAGTAGTAGTAGTATTATATAGAGTTGCTCATTACCTCTGAATTTTCTTTCTCTCCTGGGGCTTTATCTGGGTTTTGAGACTTTGAAATCTGTACATTTTACATGTCTGGCATATCTACATATCAGAGTAAGCCATTCTGCATACCTGGGCCATTTTCCTACAGGCATATTCTGATAGTATAAATAGTATAATGGTCGATAAAAAAATAAAGATCGCATTTCACTAGGTTTGTACAAGGAGGTATTTTTTAGGATTACCACTTTTCCCAAAACTATATAATGCTCCATTTATTTTAAGAAAGGTGACTCAAAACACAGAGAATGCACTGTAAACTAAGGTGTGTTCAAGTTACTCAGCTGGAAGGTGTCATTTTATAAAAGCTACAAAACTGGTTACAAGAATAAAATATGAATACAAATAAAATAGGCAATTATATATCTGCTTTAAGTAACAATATCTAATGGTAAAGGGCATACTACTGCTGCAGTTATCTGTATCAAAATTGAGAAATCAAGGGCAGAAAATGGTACTAATGGCAGACTATGTGAGGATAGTATAAAAGCTTTACCATACCTTGAAATAGCAGGAAAGGCAATACAGTCACCCACCTTTTAAATATAGGCTCCCCACTGATCCTATATTTCCTGCATACAATTTTTAATAAATCTCAATTTAAATACTCCCCCCCACCCCCAAAGTGATCACAGGACTGGAAAGAACTGGCGAATGTGTGTCTGTGCAGGGCCGACAACACTGCTGAATTCGTAGAGTAGTGATGGCATTCCATGGGCATCCAGAGTTCTAATAGATTTGCTGTCACATGACGGCTTGGAAAAAGGTTTTTTTTTAAAGTAGGTATTTACATTGAGATTGATAACTGTATGCAGAAAATATAATAACTGTGGGGAGACATTTAAAAAGTAGGTGGTTGTATTGCCTTTCCATCTACTTTAAATTCCCCCCTCTGTGCCTTAGGTTCAGTTTGAACCCCTTAAAAGTAATTTAGGTCTGTGATCCAATATACCTATACAGTGCAGAAAATCTTCGGTTTCACGTTCTTAAAATCATCTAAGATATTTTGAACAGGAAAAGCAGACCATAGTGTCCAGCACGGTCACAATCAAGTGACATATAAAACCATTTAAGTGGAGTACTCCTTTCTGGGTTTCAAATTTTATATTATTTAAGGAACATTAACACCAAATTTTACCTCAAGTTCATTAAGTCTTTGGATACGTGGCGTGAAGTGCAGTTTGTCCACATCACAAGCAAATGGAGGTTGCCAGTCCTAGAAAAGAAAAATGATACATTACGGATTACCACTATAAATCAATAATTAAGCCTTTTATAATAGCACGCCATCAAACCTGACTCACGTCCTTAAAATCAATAAACAAAATTGAAATTAATATATTGCAGCTCGTCAGTCCTTACATGTGGATGCATGAGTTTTCTTTTTCAGGCCAAGTAAATTTTCTGCTCATGCTGCCAGAATTCCAGTGTTCTTCTAACTTCCTGTGCAATAAACTGAAATCTCAAACTATGTCATCATGAGTCTCAGTTCACTTCTGTAAACTACAGACAACCTTACCAATCCTATGCAGATTAGGAAAGAGGAGTTGTCCTGTAGTTCTAGTCAGGAAAGCAGCTTAGGGTGACATTACTGATACAGTACAGTGAGTGTTGTCATCCTAGGACAAGAAGTCTTAGGATGACAACACGATGATCACCAAATGAAAAAGGAAAATGGCCTAAAAAATGAAAACAAATGCAGGCAAATATACTTCAGGTCTATAACTGCGTGATACAAGTTTTGAAGATATCCCCTACGTACAATCATAACAGAGAGACTCTGACCCCATTCCCACTGAGCTACATCAGAAAAAGTGCTTTTTCAGATTGAGCTACATTGCACATATTGTTGAGCTATGTAGCGCTACTTTTGGCAAGGACTACGTAGCTGCTACATTGGGATGTATCCAATCAAGAGTCTTGATGTGACTTAATTCCTCTTCCTGCTTATATTTCTGTGCAAAAGTGACACTTCTGTAGCGCAGCAATGTCTCGCGACATTGAGCTAGACCATTGAAATCTATTGGGCCAAATCGCACAAAATCCACCGAACAATAGGTCATGTTCAAGCGACAATCTTGAGCTACAAGCTGAAGGCGACATTGAGCTGTGAGATGTGAACAGCTCCATTGAAATGCATTGGACAAGCTACATTGAGCTACAAACTGCTCAGGGTGAATGGGGTCTAAAGGCTGTTAATTAAAGTGACATTAAACCCTCAGATTTTGTAACATAAACCAATACTGTAATGTGTGCCTTACTGTAATCCATGGTTGTTTCCCTTCTCTTTGCTGCTCTTCCTTTTAAATATGTATCTCTTCTCATGCTGGGGGAGAACTTCCCTTTGAAGCTCAGTGCCTCTTCCTGTAGTGCTGGCTCAGGTTGCAAACCTGCACACAGACACCATATATCCATTCCTGAGACAAGGCAGTCTGCTGCAAAACAGAAGTTCTGCCCAGCATAAGAACAGATACAGATTTAAAAGGAAGAGCAGCAAAGAGAAGGGAAACAACCATGGATTACAGTAAGGCACACATTACAGTCTTGTTAAAACATCTGAGGGTTTAATGTCACTTTAAGTGTGCTTTAAAGTGACACAAAACTCGGGAGTTTAAAAACATTAAAAAGGCACATCCCCCCCCCCTTCCCCCCACACCTTTTTATCCCATAGTTCTCTTTAGGGTCACGGGAGGACAACTACTAACCTCCTCCCGTGACCCAAAGCTCAGTATATAGCGAGCTATATACGGAGGGTGAGAGCACCACAGCCGGGAGGGATCCCGACAATACTGTCAAGATCCACCCAGCTAGCTAATTGACAGCAGGCTCTGCCTATCTAAGGTCTCGTTCACACCTAGGCGTATTGCATATGCACGACCGTCGCGCGTTTTTTTACAGCGATTCGCGGTAAAAAAGTTGCACGTTTCCGAAGGCTACTTGGCTTATCCCAATGGAAACGCCCAACAAAACGGCCCAAAGTAGTACCTAGGTGGGAACGAGACCATTGAATACAATGGGATTTATTTTTTTGAGCGTTTTGTAGGAGCGTTCGTCGAGCGTAGAACGCACTACAAAACGTTCAGGTGTGAACCAGGGCTAAAAGGCAGAGGCAGCTGTGCCCGCCCCCTCCCTGTCCATTCTACTAGTCAGTGCTGGAGGATCGGAGAGGGGAGGGGGGAATTCTTGCAGGGAGCGGTGACTGTCCTCAACGCTCTCTGCTGGGAGATGATCGAGAAGTGAGCGAGCAACGGTATGTTTGCTCACTTCTCGTCAATAGAGCCGATGTGTGGCAGTTTCAATGTCACACGTCAGCTCTAACTAGGAGGATGAGTGTAAATCACTTACCTCATAGTTCTCCTTTAAGTACTTACCTTAAATGATGCCTCTTGATCCGATCATCTTTTCAGTAGTTTTCAGGAGTCCACTGCTGGTGCCGGTCTCTGATCCAGTGCAGACTCCTCGGGTCCCACGGTATCTGTCCGCACGCACACTATTAGACATGTGCAAAGACTAAAAAAAAAATTTTCGGACTAAATGAACTGAAACTAAAAACGTCAAATGAAAAACACGTTTTTAGGTTATTTGGGATTCGGCTATCCTGGAGGCTGGGCGCTTGATGTCACGTCTGTTGGGGGGGGCACAATTTTCTGTTCTTGCCTCGGGCTCAAACGGAGCTAGCTATGGCTGTTTCCAGGGAACATACAATTGAAAAATTAAAATAAATGAAAGGGGAAGTTTTGCACTTCTCTCAAGCTCACAGGGAAATAGACCATTAATTATTTTTTTCTATGCAAATTTTTCATCGACATCATTTGTGGGTCGTCAACACCCACAATTGATGTCACGGATGAGGCACAGGACTATAGGAGGAGGAAGTGTGCATTAGCATGTGGCAAAAACAACACTTATGTGTCAATTATAATTAAATGTAAGCAATAATTACTACAACAATGGTGGCAGTTTCAGTATAGAAGGATGGTAGTTTGGCACAAAATAGGTGGCTTACAGTAGCAAACATGGCAGATGTCTGCCAGTAATTTATCAAATGAGCTTTGTAAAAGGCCTGTTCTATTCCCTTAGTATAAAAGTACTAATACTCTGCCATTGGATCATGAATAGGTAAACATTGATAGGTCTATGGACAAACGTATGTTTCAGGAAAGACCCTTAAAAGACAAAAGGAGGCAACCAAAAAAAAAAAAAAAATCTAGCCGAATTGTTTATCCAATGGCCTTTTTTTCCCCTCCCAATATAAGATCCCCAGACTGAAAACCAGCTGCTGTGGTTAAGAGGTGGTCCAACTTTCCCTGTAAATTTAAATTTGTTTATTACAGCTAATGTATATAGCATTGACAATTTATGCAACGCTTTACACAGTTGCACTTTCACCTCAGTCCCTGGGACAGCACAGGGCGCACATGCAAACTCCTTGCTAATAGTGTCCAGACTCTCAGTGCTGCAAGGCAGAAATGATAACGAGTATGACATTGTGGTACTGCATTTCACATTGTAGGTAATACAATTGGAAAGCATACATGAAAACACCATGAAAAGCCAGAAAGAGTAGAAGTGGGTTCTCATTGCTGGAGTCCAATAGACTAGAGACTATAACTAAAATAGCACTTTTGGCTGAAATGACCCTTTAAACCAGCTCAGGCCTGCAATGCTTCATTGAGAAAAGTCTCCTCCCCATGACCTTCTGTTCTACATCACAAAGCAGTTTATGGAGGAAGGGTTTAGATATCTGCTTGGCCTGCCTAAAAGCTATTGAGAACAATGGAAAGGCTGATGGGTATACATGTTCATTGTTTGTATGACTTGATTTAAAGCTGAACCAGGGCACAAAAACATTTTTTTTTACTCTGACTCACTCCTAACCAGCACACAAGGAAAGCCAGGACCTGGAGATCTCTATCTACTCACTTGCACTAACACCTTTAGCACATTTACACTGAGAGGTGAAGAAATTATTTTGGCAGATGGGACGTCTCTTCTGCCCAAAATCTGTACCTCCAACCATTTTTCATTTTACTGGACTTTAAAAATGCTTATAAAATGTAAATGCTTTGCTTTGTGCAATTCCTGCTTTTATTTTCTGTGAAAATCAGCATCTTCATTCAACTTTACATTGTCCCGGCGCGGAAATAAAGCAGGCGGCGCATGTTGGGTTGTGACGTGGATAATAGAAAGTACAGTTCCCATGATATTATGAGAATTCACTGCTTACGGCCGTTGCTTTTGTATTGGCGGGCCGCAACTGAGTGCTGTAAGGAACGTGCCCACCCAAGGTAGCATGTCACCCTCTATACTAAAAAGGAGGCGTCAAGGCAACTGGACTTGCTGTATTTTTCTTGAAGAAGTTTCACTGGTCATCCAAGCAGCTTTCTCAATTCAGAATTGGGCCCGACACGTTTTTTATTTTCGGTTTCGTTCCGGTTTGGTAAATGTCATTTCTTTGCACCTCTAAAAAGAACATTTAATTCTGACATAAAACTACACACAAATAAGATAGTTACGCAAATGGTTTATTAAAAAAAAAAGACTGCTTAGGAGTTAGGTAATATACAAAGATGGCCACCAGCTTCGTAAACTTCAGGAAGAGAACATCAAATATCTAAAAATGGTGGCTGCATACAAGCAAGCATGAGAGCTGAAGTTTCCCCAACATAAGTGTAGGCTGCCCTTATCTTTCTATCTTGCTCTCTTATAAACCCATTTAGGACCCAAGTAGGACTGTTGCGCCACTGAAGTGCACCTAATGCAACTTCCTGTAATGCTGTGGGAACAGTGAATCATGGCTCCTGAATTAGGAGCAAAGTTGCCACTCATGTACAATGTGTCTGCTTGCACTACAGTGGGATGAAAAAATGCAGCAGAAGAATGTATTTTGTCAATAAGCACCTGGCCACACCAAGTCCTGCCCACTGTTTTCTTGAATTGACAGCATTGCAGATGTGGCTGAAACCCTCCTACTGTAAGCTGCCGTGTCTGGGAGGGGGAAGCATGCGAGACAGACATGAAGGCGGCTGAGGATGATTAATACTAGCCATACACAGCTTAAATCATGGATGATTCCTCATCAATTGGCAGAAATTCTAGCCTTGGTTGACCCTGACAGCTTGACTAAGTTCGATCATGATATGGGTGGAAAATTGTCGGCCGAACAGCAACAGCTTGAGACCCCATTCACACTGAGCTACATCAAAAAAACGTGTT